ATCAAATATAAGGGCAAGGAAGGATGTTATATGCTTGTGAATATATAATCATGGCCGCATATCTACTATATTATACAATATAAACTTGAAATCTAAGTCAACAGCTAACATGAGGAAGTAGGTTAGCCAGTCAGTACTTGAGCTTGGAAATGTTAATATATACCTCTCTGAAAATGATAAGCAACGGATAAGGAAGGATAAAGCAAGGACACTACAGCTTGATCACATCTGGGACAGTCACAGAAATTAATCATGTACCAGGCCACAAAGAAGCTATCAGTATATTCCATCTTTGTTCAAACCACAAAGAAATGAAATTAGGAAACAGTAATTCTAAATAGAAAGCTATAGAAACCTCACATGTCTGGGTATTTTTAAACATCACTATTTAAAAACTCATGAAGAGGAAGTCATAATGGAAATTAGAAAAAAAACAACAGCAGCATAACAAACATATTAAGACTGAAAGGGGAATTTATCATAAAACAAGAAAAACTAGAAATGAATGGTTAGGGCTTGGGATTTAGCTCAGTGGTGTTGTGCCCGCCATGCAAATGCAAAGTCCTGAGTTCTATCGTTGGTACCCTGGGGCCGGCGGTGTGTGTGTGTGTGTGTGATTACACTCTGAGACTCATGAAGGTCAACTCTAAAATCATAAAAATGCAACAGATTAGGTTAAATAAGGAAGGAAATCATAAATATTAAGATGAAAATAGTTTATCTTTTATTAGTATATGTTTGTGATCTATAATAGTTACATTTGTTTTGTAAAGTTGATCTACTAAAACCTGGTATGAATTTTACAAGAACAGAAATTTTAGGCATCACTTTGAGTCACAGTTCTATGAAACCTAAGTGAATATCAGGCTAAATTTATTACCTTAAAGTGGGGTTTATACCAGTAATGGGAGACGACTCTGCTTTAGGAGGGAAAGGGGAAAAAAGCTTGTCATCGTCACTGCTGCTTGGCGCAACACCAGAGGTTAGTGCAAGAAAATGAACCAGATAAAGATAGGGAGCAAAAAATATACAAATTATTATTTGGAGATGATAAATTCATATAAATAGAATTAGAACAATTAGAACTATCAACAAATTTTACCAAAGCTGCTCAGAAATAAAAATATTTAAATAACTTCAAAAATGGCAATGTAATAAAAGGTTTATTACCCTAAACATATTAAATAACCATAAAAAGTGAATAAATAAAAGGAAATATTCTGCTCCTGAGTGTAAAAGTTCATGTTATAGAGGTGTCAGTATTCATAGGGAAACTAAATATCAACTGCACACTTAGGATCTGAAATGGCTGTCAAAGCCCTGGTCCCCAACCCTGTGGTGCTGTTGTTAGGGGTGGAACCTGTAGGAGGTGGGGCTTAGTGGAAGGCCGGTAGGTCATCGGGAGCACGCCCTGGACCCTAGCCCCTTTCTGTTTTTCTCTTTGCTGCCCATCCATCATGAGGTAAAAACGTTTCTCCCCCTTGAACCCCTGGCACAATATTCTGCCTTGCCACAGACCTTAAAACAATAGGCCTAAGCAACCATGAACCTCTGAAACAAAGAGCCAAAATACACCTTTTCTCCTCATAAATTGACTTTATCAGATATTTTTGTCACAGTAATCTAACACATCTGCTATCCAAATGAATTTGAAAATGAAAAGCAAAGAAGAGGATCACCCTACCCCAGATCATTTTGCAAAAACACAGTGATTAAAACAGTATGATACTGGCAGAGGATAGCAGACTGACAGAGTGAAGCACAGAGCACACGCAAGAAGCTGGTTTTTGAGTGAAATATCTTCACAAGTCAGGAAAAGATGGACTTTTGTTGTCATTGTTGTATGATGGCAGAAAATTGCCTTAGTAGAAGTATGGAGGGAAAGAAAATCATCTCCCTATCTCACCATGTTAAGAAAAACTCCAGAAAGAATAAATATTTAAATGGGAAACTCCGTAGATAAAAACGTAGGATAACTGAGAATCTGGAGTGGGGATGATTTCTTTAGCAAGATTAAAAAAAAAACAAACAAGTTTTGATGGAAAATCACCCTGGTCTGTCTACATCAAAGTAGGAAGACACTAATGATGAGTAGCTGCTTTTAAGTTTCAGTCTCTATGAAGTCCTTCTTGCTCCACGCTTTCTGGTACGGTCACAAGAATGTGGTCAGGTCTCACGTGTCACCTCACTGGGGGTGAAGGCTGGTGCTGAGATTCGGGCAGAGGGAGGCGTGCAGGTGCCTGCAGCAGAACAGGGAGCCCCGAAAGTTTCTTATTTTCTTAGACTGAATTGCTTCTGTTTTCAGGGGTTCCAACTTGTCTGTGGAAGAGCCTCGGTGAGGAGTCTTGGATGCAGGGATAGGGAGCCAAGAGAGACCATGAAAACTTAAGCAGTCAGGCTTGATTGTTCTGTTGCTGCCCACACTTTTAGGGCAACCACGGGCTACCCTAATGCAAGGGGTTGCTGGTTGTTAGTTCCTCACAACCAGTCCTGACTGAGCTCCAGAATCCTGCCAGGAGCTCATTAAAAATAAGTCACAGGGCTCCACCCTGATATGCTCTGATTCAGGAGGCATGAGGCAGGCAGCTCAGGAATCTTCATCTGACCAGCTCCCAGAGCTGCCCAGGGCTGGACCTGCCAAGCTGGATCACCTTTCCAGGGACTAGAGTCAGAACCACTCAGCTCCTAAAGATGTAGAACTGCCTGGGCTGGGATGTGGATGGGTTTGCAGCTGAGATGTGGCCAGGCAGGATGGGAAGTACAGTGACTTGGGAAGGCAGCCCAGCCGGCAGCTCAGGCAGAAGGAGCTGTACCCTGAGGTGACTGCTGGAATCTAACTCTCTCTCTCTCTGTTTTGTTTTTGTTTTTTGTTTTTTGGGGGTTTTTTTGGTACCAGGGGATCGAATTTAATCCCCGGCCCTAAAACTCTCTTCTTGATGTTCGCTTCCCCACCTTGGACCTGATCCCTCACACAGGTCTGTCCTCCACCTGCCTCCTTTACCAGCCTGGGAGCTGCTTGAGGGCAAAAATCTGGCATTCATTCACTCATGCGTTCATTTATTACACAAGTATGTATGCAGACATTCATGTGCTAGGAGCAGGCTGTGACTCGGAACAAGGACCAGTCGTCTCTCCGAGCACTCCCAGCCTAGAAGGGAGGGAAGCAGCGGCACCGAGGCTCTGATGAGGTGTGCATAGCACTGTGACTGGCAAACACCAGGCGCCTAAGAGGGATACCTGCCCTCTCCATGGGACACCTGGAAAGGCTTCTTGGAAGAAGTGAGGTCTGAGATGGCAATGAATGAAGCAGTCAGATGGGAGGAAGGAAGAGGTTTCAGTCAGAGGGAATGGCCCGGGCAAGCCCTCAGTGGCAATGGGAGTGGTCTAGGTGGCTGGGCTGTGAGGTGACACGAAGCCCCCCCTCCAGGCCTGTGTCAGAAGTCTGTTGCAGTGAGGGAGCAATGAAATGGTGTCGCTTCCCACTTTCCTGGCTTCTACCTTGGGACCTGGCCCCAGGCACTGCAGAGAATGTAAGGTGATTGGTGTCTTCTCCTACCTGGAAAGCCTGGCTGACCTGGACTCATGCCCAGTCCATTATTCCTTCCCCCTTCGCTTCCCTTGCTTCCTGTGGGCTGGGTCGGCTCCCATCTCGGGGAACCTGGCAGGATTTTCCCTCAGCACCTGGAGTATTAACTTCTCTGCATTAATATGGGCCACTGTGCCAAGCTGGGGAAACTGAGGCTGGGAGAATGGCAGGGTGTCTTGGAAGTCTCCTCTTGACTTTCAAGGCAGTCAAAAGCTGTGCTTCAAAGAGAATTTGGTTGCTGTATTCCCCCACTTTGAGAATGGCTCTCCTCCTGGGCCAGCTTGGGGTCAAGTGTGAGTTGTAGCCTTCAGGGGAAGCCCAGCGCCAGCCTGCCACCCAGCACCTGGTGGGTACACGGGAGATGTGTGACCCACTTGGATACATGTCTCCAGCCCCCGGTGGGGGGCAGGTTCTATCCAGGCCCATGGTCAATATGATCTCAAGCTGGCCCCATGTTCAGGGGACTGCCACGAGCATGGCCATTGCCACCATTTAGTTTACTGACCTTGTTTTGTGCCAGGCACCCTGCGTGCCCACTCCTATGTTACTTGGCCTCTCCATAAAAACTTCAGGGGAGAGAAGTGTACACTGATGTGGAGACTAAGGCTCTTGCAAGGGGTGAGGACTCAGAGACTTGTAAGGCAGAAGATTGTCACGCACACCACCCCACTCACCCAGCTGCAGGGGCTGAAGGCTGTGACCCAGAGGAAGTTACCTGAGGAGGACCCTCCAGAAGGGGTTAGACCCTAGGAGCCAAGGTGGTGGGAGGAGGGGAGGCCCCAAAGGTACCCCTTCCACAGTTGCTACTGACGACATGAGCTCCTTAAAGATCATCACAGTACGTGGTGACATGTCCTCATTTTTTTCTTTCTGCTTAGCTAATTTTTGCACTTACCTAGTTTTCTACAGAAACTATTACTTTTATCATTAAAATGGAATTTACAAGGAGGAAACGCAGGTGTCACAGGTTGGCAGGATGAGGGGTGCAGTGCTTTGGCAAGGAAGATGGGGCTTGTGCATTTGCAAACAAGCAGTTGGGAGCCTTCTCCCTCTCCCCTCCTCACCCCCCACAGCTGGGCTGGGGGCCTAGAGGAGGGCAACTCTGCAGGGAGTCTCACACACCACCCCCTTCAAGTCACGGCAGCCCCAGAACCGCGCACCTGTGCGTGTGCCTCTACTGTGCGATCCTTGCCCGAGGTGGTGCTGCTTATTTCCTGCCTGCCCCCCTGGAAGGGGGACAGGGATGGCTGAGTCTCCAGGCCGCACCCTTGTGACCTTTGTGGGGACAGGAGAGGAGGTACCCGTGGTGGAGAGGGGATATGCCAGGCTACCCGACCAGACTTGCCAGGCCGCTTGCTTGGCTCCCAGGGGCCTGTGGCTGTGTCTAAATCCCTCTTGGGGCCTCTGTTTTCAGATCCACTTTCCGGATGTCGAGCGGGTCGAGTGGGCCAACAAGGTAAGGCCTCAGGTGGCATCGGGAGGGTGCAGACCTCCACCTCGCTGAGCCTTGGCACACAGGCCAAGGCCCTCGGTCCCTGTGGTGCCCATGCTGGAGTGGCAGCATGCACCTTGCCTTTGTTCACTAGGTGGCTTCCTTCCCTGAACAAACAAACGAAAATATGTATATATGTATGTATCCCCACAGAGGAAAGGCTAGAAAACAGAAGTACTTTCTAGAGAAAAGAGCAACCCTCCACTGGCTCTCCAGCTAAAACCAGCTCCTTCATAGGGAGAGGAAGACGCTTAATTAGACAACAGCTCTGGCTTCCGCCTGGTTCCCAGCCCAGACGTACCACCACTGGCTGTGCAACATCTGGCAGCTTGCTTAACATCTCTGAGCTGGTTTCCTTATTCATAAGTTGGGAATAATTATGGTTCCTGCCTTGGCACACGATGAGTACAGGGGTTATTAATAGTCATTATTATGAGTGCTGTCACGTCATCCAGGGGAACTCCTCTTGAGCTCTGCCACCAGATGCCTGGAAGGCATCGCCTTTGGCCCTCCCCCAGCAGGAACCCCCACTTCACAGATGAGAAACCTGGGTCCTGGCCTGCCCACTCCTGTGAAGGCTCTCCTGTACCCCCCACCAACCGTCTCCTGACTCAGGACGTCAGTGCCGTCCTTATCCCTGGTTAGCCCATAGCGGAAGGACTTAGATTAGGTAGAAGAAAGGACTTCCTGACAGTTGTCGATCTCAGGTTGGTATCTTGCATTCCCAGAAATATCATTGCCAAGTGCATCAAAGCCATCCCTGGCCTCTAAGTAAAATGTGGAGGAAAGAGGTTGCTGCTTTAGGACCTGTACCCCTTCTGTGGATCAATGCAGAGTCCAGAGCCCCTGTGGCAAACCCGGTAGAGTTCCTCCTGCATGGTGCTGGGCAGTGCAGGTTTACTGCATATGTTCTGTCCTTCCCAAGTGACACAGAAATGCATGGAGGCACTGAGGGAGGGATCTGTTGGGATGAGCCCACCCTCACCTTGGACAGAGACGTTGAGGGGGTGAACCACACATGTAGGTGCACTCCAGAGGCCCTGGACAGTGACATTGGTGAGGCAGGAAGGTGGGACCGCCTCCAGAAATTTAGAATCTGGGGTTTGAAGAGGCCTCAGAGGTGGGGAAGACAGTAAACCCTGAAGTCTCTACCTTTAGGCTCCTCCAGTTTTGGGTTTGGGAAAGAGGCAAGTTGGAGGGAGGTGCATCTTAAAACTGAGGCCCAGGCCCATGGGAAAAATGAGGAGCAGCCCTGCAGCCAGCTCTGTACACCCCTCTCCTTCCCATTACCCATGGCGTCCGCCTTTTCCTGCTAGAATAGAAAAAGGATGTGATAATGTGAAATAGGAAGAAAAGGGCTAAAGGTGTAGCGAAAGTGGGAAGGGTAGGGGAAAGGAAATAAAGGACAAGAAAAAATATGAGAAAAGGAAAAAATGGAAACAAAGTCTTTGTAAATAGGGGAGGGTGGCGGGGGTGAAGGGAGGTCAGGGGTATGGGGGAAAACAAGAATCAAAATCTGTCACATAAAGGCACCAGATCCCAATGATGAATGTAACTGTACTGTATACTTAAAAAGTACCAATAAACTCAATAAAAAAGAAAAAAAAAAAAACAAAAAAGGACGTGAGTAGTTAGAATGAAACCAAAATAGTCTATAGATCAGTTTAAAATGTAACAATGTTATTTTTTTAGTTTTGATCATTGTATACTCATGCATTGCTTACTTTCTGCCAACAGACCACAGACACAACGGTGATCCCTTAAGATTATAATGGAGCTGAGAAATTCTAGTAGCCCATTATTTGTGCAGTGCCTTCTCAGTTTAGGTACACGGATACCACTGTGTCACAGTTGCCCACAGTGTTCAGCACAGGGACGAGGTGCCCCGGTGTGTACCCTAGCAGTGGCAGGCCATGCCGTCAAGGCGTGTGTAAGTACACTTGATGATGTGTACCCAGACCAGCATCGTGACTCATTCTGCTACAGAAGTTGGCCAAAGGTTGCCTTGTCTGACTACTGGAAAATTTAACATATCTGTAACTTTTTCTTAAACTTTTGGCATCTGCTACTTTTTTATGAGATTATATACCATAGAGCTTCCTACTGTTAAATTTAAAGAATGAGTACTTCCATGGTGCTCTGCACAATAGCACCAAGCCTTGAGGTCCTAGATATTTGAGAGACAAACCATAGGTGGGTAGAAGGGGGCAGACAGGGAACTGGATGGTGCAGCACAGGGACGATGAGACTCGGACCCTGAGGCCAGGCCGCAGAGACTCAAGACTGTGTCCTGGGCAGCTGAGCTTCTCCCTATTCCTTTCAGATTATTGCCCAGATTTGGCCCTACCTGACCATGATCATGGAAAACAAGGTTCGGGAGAAACTGGAGCCAAAGATCCGGGAGAAGAGCACCTACCTAAGGACCTTCACCTTCACCAAGCTCTACTTTGGACAGAAGGTCAGTGCTACCTTGGAAAGGAGAGCCTGGGCTTACTGTGCAGCCTCTTCTCCTGCCTCCCCACTCGCAAGTCACCTAACTGCAGGGATCCCACTGGACCTCAGAGGGGCATGACCCACTCCCCTGAACTCCCCAGCACACAGCCCTCACCCCTTGACCCCACAGCACCATCTCTCCAGGTTGCCAGGAGCCTGAGTCAGGGACTCGAAAGGAAAGGTGGCAACCAGTTCCTTTCTTCTTAAGCAAAATTTTGAAAACAGGCCACGTTGGTAGCCAGGCAGATACAGGATATATCTGTACAGTTGTTAATTCGGGCGTCAGCTGGACAAGTCCCCCTTCATGATTTGAGATACTACCATAAAGCAGTGTGGAATTCTCTGGAGGATTCTGGCAGTCAGTAAAGCCAACACTAGTTCTGTGAAAACCAATGGTTGTCAGAGGATAAAATGGCCCATGCCCAAAGAAACGTGTCAAGCATACTTAATATCACAGTCTCTCTTCTAGACTGAGCTTGATAATTTGTCCTCTATGTCCTGCTCCTTTGGCCTTGATGTTTTCATTGATCTGAGCCTTATTTTAATCATCCAAAACACATCCCCAGACATATGATGACATCCACTACCCAGTATGCCAGAAGTATTGGCATGCAGTGTGCCCCCGGAACAAGCAGGAGTCAGAGTGCATGCCAGCCAGCTGAGAGCTGCTGCCAGCCCTGCCCAGCCAGCCCCACAGGTGGGGTGGATTAGGTATGCCTCAGCCCTGGAGAGTCTGGTTTGTGCCACTCAGGTTCTGCCAGGACTGGCTAGGCCCAACATCTGCCAGCCTGCATATTACCTCCTTGTGTCGATCACCTTTGACTTAGTACATGCTGTGTATTAGGCACCATAGACCCAGTCAAGTGTGGCTATGCCCCTGCCTTCAGGAAGCACACACACAAACTAGGTGGGGAAATATGGTGGCATATATATGCATGATGAGGGAGGAATGTGTGAGCTCAGGAGTGGAGAGGTGTAGGGGCTGTGTTAGTCAGGAAGACTTCCTGGAGGAAGTGATGTTTCGAGTTGGCTTTTGAAGAATTCAGTAGGCAGAGCCAGGAAGCCTGCAGACTGCTGTGTTTAGAGCAGAGCCAGCTCAGCCAGCCACTCCTCTGCTGGTAGTGTCTAGGGGATGTGATGTCACTGGCAAGTGATCATCAGGAATGGTTTTTACCATGTCAAGAGAGTCTGCAGGCTGTAGGCTGACCCAGTGTTCTAGCCCTGCAGGAGAAAAACCTGTCCCTGTCGGGCCTTGCAAGTCCCTCTTGTCCTCCCCTGCCTGCCTCCTGTCCACCCTCTTATCTTCACATCTCTCCTCTCTGTTGTGGGCTCACAGAGAACTCTTAGAACCCTTGCAGGCCCAGCCAGCACCCAGTGCACTGGCAGCACCCAGGAGTGTCCCACCTCCCTCTGCAATGGTGACCTGGGCCAGTGACTTAACCTTGCTGAGCTTCAACTTCCTCATGTGTAAAAAAGATCTACTTTTGACAAATATTTTTACTAGTACCTATTAGTTACACAATATACTGGATTTCAATTGATATTTTTATTCATGCATGTAACATACTGTATACAATGTATTTTGATAATATCCATAACCCTGTTACCCTCTCTTAAGCTCTCCTCCCCCTAAGGGGAGGAGATAGAGTTCTATTCAGGAAGTCTTTTCATGTGCCCATTGCGAGGAACAAAACCTCCTTACCTTTGATTGTGCTCGGCAGACAGATCAGACTGAGAACTGGGAGCTGCAAAAGCGAGACATTTTAATTGTCTTGATCTTGCAAGAATGGGGTGCTGGCCTAACAAAACAGGCTGACAGCCCCACACCCTAACTCCTAACTCCTAGCACACACTCCTCCCTACCTCCTAGCCCTAAGTATCCTCCTTCCTCCTTTTCTCACTGACTTGAGTACTAGGGTGGGAGGAAATAATCTCCCGCTGGTGCCTATCCCCTTATCCCACTCCCTCTGTAAACTTGTGGGGTTTAAAAGCAAATGATTAAACTACAGGGGGTAGCTTCTTGGCTGCTAGTGCTTTTCCTGTCAGAGTTAGCATAGTAGATTCCATACTTAATTGATTATTTACCTTTCCCCGCTTTGTTTAGAGACCCTCTCAGATGCATGACCTCAGTCACATCCTCAGGCTAGAAGACCATATCCTGAAAATAGACCACTTTATGAATTTGTTTCTTACGTCTATTATTTCAAGTGTTTCCGCTTGTTTGATGTTTTCATCAAACATATGTAGCAGTTTCAACGATTCAGGCCATATAGCAGGGTCTTTGATCCATTTTGAGTTGATTTTTATACAGGGTGAGAGATAGGAATCTAGTTTCAAACTTCCACATGTGGATATCTAGTTTCCCAGCACCATATGTTTAAGAGACTGTCTTTTCTCCAACATAATGTTTTTGGTTCTTTGCTCCAGAATCAGATGGCTGCAGTTGCAAGGGCTGGTCTCTGGGTCCTCTATTCTGTTCCCTTGGTCCACACGTGACTGATGACTAATGTAGTATAATTTGAAGCCAGGTATTGTGATGCCTCCCTCCAGCCTTACTCTTTTTGCTCAGGATCGCTTTGACTATTTTGGGTCTCTTGTGTTTCCATATAAATTTTAGTACGTGTTTTTTTCTCATTCTGTGAAGAAAGTCATTGAAATTTTGACAGGAATTGCATTGAAGCTGTAGATGGCTTTCAGTGACACGGCCATTCTGGCAATGTTAGTTCTTGGGATTTGTGAACATGGGGATCTTTCCATCTTCATTTCTTTCTCCAGTGCTCTTTTTTTATTGTAGAGGTCTTTTTCACTTCCCGGGCTACACTGATTCCTAGGTGTTTTTTGTTTGTTTTAATTATTGTGAATGGAATTTTTTTTCTGATTTTTTTCTCAGTTCACTCTTCGTGTATAGAAAAGCTTTTGATTTTTTTGATGTTGATTTTTGTATCCTGCTACTTTGCTAAGTTTATCAGCTCTAAAACTCTTTCAGTGTAGTCTTTTAGGATCTTCAAATATAGCATCATATCATGTATGATTAAGGATGATTTGACTTCTCCACTTCTGAAGGTTGTTTTGAGGCATAATCAGGCTTGGCCTCTGGGTGGCCTGTGTGGGCACTGCCCTGCATTGTGGAGGGCAGATTCTAGCCTGTGCCGCTTGCCCTGCTGTGAGCCTGAGCCTGGGCCAGGATGAGCCTACTGGGCATAGAGTGGATGCTTAAAGGTGGCTGTCCCTCCTCCTCGCTGTGCTAGGGGCTTCCAGGAAGGGGGCTATTCCTAGAATCTGTCCTGCCAATGAGGGTCTCGGGGCTGGCTGAGCTTTTACGGTGGCTGAGCACCCCCATACACCCACAGGTTACTCAAGTGTCTTCCAGGGAGAGCCTTCTGAAGCTCACATAATCTGAGGACTCTCTTAAAAAAAAAGAATATAAAATTAGGTGGGCATGGATATACAAGGTAATCCATGGGATTACACTCTGGGAGGCTGAGGCGGGAGAGTTGCCCCAGTCAATTTATCGAGATCGCCTTTCAAAGGAAACAAAAGGTCTGGGGATATAGCTGAATATGAAGGGTCTGGGTTCAGTCATCAGTACCAATAGGTAAATAGTAAAAATGTAAAATTAGGACAAAAATAAATATTAAATATAAAAAACCCTGTGTGGTGGCACATCTGGGAGGTGTCAGTAAGAGGCTCAGCAATTCCAGCACTCTGGGAGACAGGCTGGGAGGATCACAAATTTAAACCCAGCCCAGGCATCTTAGCATCTTGGTGAAATTCTGCCTCAAAATAAAAAATAAAAACAGGGCTGGGGATGTAGCTTAGTGGGTTTAAGTCCCAGTATCACACACACATTAAAAAAAACCAAATAATGAGAAAATAAAGTTACACATTTATAAAAGTTAGCATACCATGTATATTACAGACTGCACGCAACTACATGATATAAATTAACTGTTTAACATACCCTTGTAATGCATTTTGGCTCCATACTTGAGAACCTTTTCATGGGACAATGCATTTGTAAATACCAGTTTCTACGGAGTGAACAGAAAGTTAATGGAATCTTCCCTTTAGCAGGACTGATTAAATTTTTCTCCAAAATTTTATTATAGAAAATTTCATACATACAAAAAAGTTGAATTATTCATCCAAAGTCTTATACCTATTGTCTGAATTGTGTGATAACTTATTGATATATTTACTATATATTCATGCTTCTATCCTTTTTAAAAAATGCATTTCAAACTATATAGCAGACATCAGTGAACTTCACCCCTGCTTCCCTTTTCAGTGTGCATATCATTAGCCCAGATTGAAATAATATTATTGTGACACTGATGATTAAATGCAGGGCCTCTGCACTGAGCTATATCCCCAGCCCTTTTAAAATATTTTTATCTTCAGGCAGGGTCCTGCCAAACTGTTAAATTGCCCAGGATGGGCTGAAACTTTTGAGCCTCCTACTGCCACCTCCCAGAGTGCTAGGAATGCAGGGATGTGACACCATACCTGGCTTAAAATTTGGTTTTTATTTTTGATAAATGATAACCAGACCACTTGATGGGAAAAGAAGAGTCTGGGCAGAGCAGGATGGTTACCGCGGAAAATAACCTAGGGACTAAGGCTCCAGCCATGGGACACTTGAGTCCTGAGGGTCAGATCCTTCAGCTGGGGACCCTGCCCTCTTCCCTTGGCCTTATGGGGCCAAGTCCTATTCATCTGCCAGACTTACTATAATTGCTTCCTGTTCCAGGAGCCTTCAGTAAATCTATCCTGACGAGGTTGGGAAATGTCCCGGAAGTCCTCAGATCCCCTGGGATAACATGGTCTGCTCCTTCTTGTACCCCCACCCTATTTTTCTCTGGATGGTCCCCCTCTCTCCTTGCCTTCCCCTCAGTCCAGGCTGCACAATAAGGTGCCCCATAGATGACTGTGGTGGGAAGGGAAAGAAAGGAGGAGTAATATTCAAGGAAGGGACGGCTCGGGGCAGAGGATAAGTTTCCGTGTGTGCCTGAGCCTGGAGGGTATCGGTCATGTTTATTGTTGGTGACAAGCCCAGTGCTGGCTGAGGGCTGGGGCCCTCCCTTCATGAGAACCTGCTAACCTGGCCCTCCCCTCATCTCTTCCAGTGTCCCAGGGTGACTGGAGTCAAGGCACACACTAACAAAAGCAACCCACGACAGGTGACCCTGGACCTACAGATATGGTGAGCCTCTGTCCCCTGGGTCAGGTGGGGCCAGCCAGGTGTGCACCTCAGAGGAATGGCAGCTCTGGAAGAGCTGGTATGAAGACAGAGTCGTTTAGAGTGTGAATTTCCTCCCTGGACCACAACTTCCTACAGACTGGGGCACCAGATCCTGGCTGGCGCTGGGAGAGGAGTGTCAGGATGCATGGAGGAGTGATGGTCCCAGAGAAGCCACCACTGTCTGACCACTCAGCCCAGCCTTGCTTCTCTTACCCCATGGCAGCTGTGGGTTCCAAGGCTCCAGCAGCAGAGCTTTCTTGGAAGCCAAGGCTGGGTCACCTGGAGTGTCTGATTAGCTGCTGCAGAGAGGATGTGGCTAGAGGGAGAAGTGCAACAAGAGGAGGAGGGGACTCGGTGAGGTTCAGGGCTCTGTGGCACCTCAAGAAAACGATAGGAAGCCAGATACATGCATGGTTAATTCAGTGTGTTTGAGGACCTCTTTCAAGTGAGCTTCATAAGGGCTTGAGTCAGGAAGAAGATTCCATCCAGAAGTTCTCCTGGAGGTGTGATTGGAATTGTGCCTGAAAAGACAGGAGCTACACCCAAGGTCCAGTGTTGCTGTTCCTTTCTGATGTCTCCTATTTCCTGTCTTGACCCAATGTTGTCCTTAGCTGGCATTGAGAACACACTGGAAAAGCATGAGCCACCTGTCCCACTCAGGGGCTGGCCTCTGTGTTGGGATGGCGACAGGCAGCCAGGTGCTCTTGGCTCTTGTGAGGCTGTGCCACAGATCCACGTGTGAATAGCAGGGAACATGGAGGTCACCTGACCCACTCAGACTCTCAGCAGTGCCTACGATCCCCCTCTTCCCATCCTGCCTGCCCCTACTGAAGGGGTGCTCAGGGTTTCTGTGATTCATGACATCAGGTTCCTCTGCCCATGTCCTGCGGGTGTGTGAGAGCGGCCTTCTCCCTCCCCTTAGTCTTCTCCTTCAGACCTTTGACAGTCTCCTGATCCTTACCCATCCTGACTTCCTGTGCCTAGCAAATGACAAGAGCCACCAGCTGGAGTCAGGCTTCTGTTCTTGCAGTCGGAGGCCTTGTTACTTTTGCCTCCCCTCAACACCCGCCACAACACCCTGGGGTGATGGTTGGACCTAAGCAAGGAGGGCTGCTCCTGTATCCTCAGGGTGGACACCTGGATACTCAGCAGGGATGCAGCCGTGCTAGAGATGTAGTTACTAAGAGCCCCTCCTTTTCAGCTGTCCCCAGTCACTGCCTTTCTGATCTCAGGTCAGACTGTGCCAGAGATTCCCAGGCGCAAGAGCCTGGATGGTTGCCTCATAGGTCCGAGTCTGAGCAGAGTCTAAAAAGGCTGGAATGCGTGGCCACGTGCTGACACACAGTTCAGGCTTGGTAGCCAGTAGCCAGGACTAGGGCTGTGTGTGATACTGGGCAAGCTTCCTACCCTGTCTGAGCAGGTGACCCTGCCTATCTTTCCCTCCTTACTTCTTTCTCCCTTGCCATGTCAGCTACATTGGGGACTGTGAGGTCAGTGTGGAGCTGCAGAAGATACACGCTGGTGTGAACGGCATCCAGGTGGGTAAAACCCAGCCCCTGGGGCAGGTCAGGGAAGCGGGGAAGCCGGCTTTCACTGGAGAAGGCAGCAAAGGTGGTGATGACACTGAACAGAGGCTGGTGACAGTGTAAGAAGTGTAGACCGGTGGCCAGGAGGTGGTGCTGGGCTTCATCAACCCCTTCTTTGCCTCAGGGCCCTAGTCTGTCTCTGTTCACAAAGTCCCCAAGACTGGCTGCTGGGGGAGGTAAGGCTGTTTCTAGAGTGCAGGGGAGTCTTTGTGTAGCAACTGAGGTAGATCTAAAAGTGGAAATGAGCTGTGTTGGGCTGGAAATCTCTTCAGGGTCCCTGCTGAATGGGCTTGCCAGCTCATGGCCCTTTGTGGCTGGAAGAGGGACCCCAACTGTGTGCAAACACTGTGCATTGAGTTCACTCCCTGTGGTGACAGCAGGTGGGTCGGGGTGGGTGGCCTTGACAGGGAAGGTGTGGGATACAATGAGGCAGAAATGACCTTCGCTCAGCACAGCAGACATTAAGAAAGAAGCCTGGGTTCCTCACATATTCTTGTACTGTCCAGTTGCAGGGCACCCTGCGGATCATCCTGGAGCCCTTGTTGGTGGACAAGCCCTTTGTGGGGGCTGTGACTCTGTTCTTCCTTCAAAAGCCGGTGAGTCCCAGGGCCAGGGGCAGGCCTGCTGCTCCCTGTGAGCAGGCACTGTTCACTTAGCCTCATACGTCACGAATGAACCCAGACCAGCGGCCTCTCCGCCTCATTTCATTCTCAAGCCAGCTCCAGAAGTTAGACTCAGTTCTCCCCATGAGGAAGCCAAGTTCAGAGGGATTCATGAGTGGGCTAAAGTGTTGCTGAGGAAAACTCAGAGCTAGGCCAGCCTGTGCCCTTCTGGGCTGTCCCCCTCCTGCCATGGTCCTGGCAGGAAGCAGGAGGGCCAACACCAGGTCCCATCCTGAGCTAAGGCCTGGGTGCTCCACAGCCTAGAGGTGAGAGCCAAGCCGGGAGGTATCCTCAGCTACCTGATGCTCTGTAAGGGTTCTCTGTGCAGGTGGTGGCAGGCATATCAGCCCTGGGCTCCCAGCTCTTTGCAGCCTCACAGCCTCCCTTTCCCCTGGTAGCACCTGCAGATCAACTGGACAGGCCTGACCAACCTGCTGGATGCACCTGGAATCAAGTAAGTGCTAGGACTTCTAGGAGTCAAGTGTGGGGCCCTCAGGGCCCTGCTGTCAGTGCCAAGGGCTGCTCTGAGCATGAGGAAGAGGGCAGGAGGGACAGGCACCAAGACAGTTTCCCAACAGGGATCTCCCAACGGAGAGAAAATCCTTCACGTATTTGGAATATGAGCTGGGGTGGGAGACTAATAGATTGTGCAGCCTCTTAGCCCAGTGCCTGTCCAGCTGATCTTCAGAGGGACCACAGTGGCCAACTCCTAGGGAACATTTCTGTGGATGAGGCACTGTTCTCACCTCCTCCTAGTGTAACAGTGCCAGGAGGCAGGCATTATTATCTTCACTTCAGAGACTAGGAAAGAAAAGAGGCCCAAAGAGGGGAGCGACTTGTCCAAGGCTGCACAGCTAGGAGGGGAGGAGCTGCTCTAGCATCTGTGCTTGGCCACCGTGCTCTGCTGCCTCAGAGAACAGACTGGGGCAGAGGGGTTCAGGAAGTGTAAGCAAGGGCACTGCTGCTTGGGGCCTATGTCAGGGCCTATGGATCAGTGTACCCCCTCCCACCTCCATCCAGGCTGCAAGGGGTGAGGCTTGCCTCTGGTGGGAATCCTGCCAAGCTGGGCTCTTGGTTCCAGTGCCAGGGGCGGATGGGGGCAGATAGCATGGGGGAATTAGTGTCACCCCTTCACAGCTGGTCATGCTTGGTGTCCCAGCGAGGTGTCAGATAGCCTGCTGGAGGACCTCATCGCTGCCCACCTGGTGCTGCCCAACCGCGTGACTGTGCCTGTGAAGAAGGGTCTGGATTTGACCAACCTGCGCTTCCCTCTGCCCTGCGTGAGTATTCAGTGCCTGCTGCAGAGCACCGGGCACAGTGCGGAGGGACAGCTGGGAGAGGCATCCTGAAATGCATCCCTGTGAATGCATCCCCATTTCACTGCATGGAGACAGTCTAGGAGGTTGAATGACTTGCCTGAAGCCACCATCTAGGGAGGGCCAGGCCCAGACACAATCTTTCCAGTGCCCCTGGTCCCCCCATGCTGCTTGTGTTGGAGACTGTGGGCAGCCGTGTCCAGCAAACACAAGGTGCTGCCTTCTCTCTTCAGGGCGGTCCTCTCACCTCTGTCTGTCTGGTAGCTGCAAGCACCTTGGGGTCTGCCCACAGGGACTCTTGGTACTCAGACTGGTACATTGTGCGTGCCGAGCCCCCAGGGACAGCCTGAGGGCCTGGGAGTCAGGGCCCAGGGCAGGGGAAAGTGCCCATTTTTGCCTTTTGCGTCAGGTATGAGGCATCGTCTTCTGCTCACACTCAGCCTGATTCACTCCTGCAGAGCCAGGGCCTGGGAGGCTGGCAGGGAAGGCAGCACAGATATCCTCTCTGCCTTCCCACAACGGCACATCAGCTTTAACCCTCACTATGGCACAACAGTCCCAGAATAACAATACAAGCATCATCACCCATGCCATAATTACCAAAAACATTCTGTCCTTAGGGTGGGTCCCACATGGGATGTACTTTCAAATTACTTCGATTTAAACTCACTTGGCGTAATTGCTGTGTTTGTGACAACTGGCCACAAATAATTTGTTTCATTCTATTTTTAGGGTTTAGTTTTTACCTTGATTTCCTTTTATAGTTAATGTAAAATAATTCTATTTTACATAATTACATAAATATAAAAACCGAATAATATTTTAAGGAGCTTGACTTTTACTTTGACTTTTTTTTTTTGCTACCAGAGATTGAACTCAGGACCTTGCACTTACCAGGCAGGTGCCACTGAGCTACATCCCTAGTCCCGAGCTCGTTTCTCCTACCCAATCCTCACCTTTCTCCTGGAATGGTTTATCCTTCCATTATTTTTCACTTTTTCGAATGTGTCCATAGGTACACATATGTGCTTATATGCAGTCCTATTTCTTTGATAGATGGTAGAATGTTATAACCAGCCCCACCCCTATGGAAGTGGACAGATGCCAATTCACCGGGGTCCCTGTCAATGGGCAGTTAGTTGTGTCTGGTCCTCTGCTATTACAGTGTCACTGTTAGCCTGTGAATATGTTTTTTTTAATATTTTTGCCATTTTGCCTTTAGGATATATTTTCACAAGTGGTTTTGTGGGTCAGAAGAAAAATGCATGTATATTTACTGGTATTTAAAAGAAACAACTGGTAACAGCTGTTATTGTCCGAATCCTTATAGGCTGTTCTTAACAGTTACAGTTTTTCCTTTCTTTAACAACCACCTATGTGAATGAGGGAAGGGTAGCACAGCACAGCGTGTGGTGGGGTGACACTTGGTGCCAGCCAGCAGGCAGAGCCAAGATGGTACACCAGGTATGGAGAAGAGGTCATGCTAGAACTCGTGTCTACCTGCCGGTTACTCAGTCACTTGTGTGACAGGGCTGTTGGCACAGGAGGGGCAGACAACTGTAGGTGAACACAGTGGTACTTAGGTTCATGAATAGTTTTATTTGCAAATAGTTTGGTTCACAAATAGAAGTGTTTGGCAAAATTTTATTTTCATTTGCAAACTCTGCATCCGCTGACAAACATGACTGCAGCCATCTTTCCCTCACCACCACAGACATGGCCATCTTCTTCAAAATCGTAGAACAAATTATGTTTGTGACCCAAGGTACCACTGTATGGTGTGGGACAGCAGTGTGGAGGTGGGTGGACATGCTGGGTGGCCAGGGGCTTGGCCAGAGTACTCTGATGTGGAGAGAGCCCTGGTCCCCGAGGGCTGGCCAAAGGGAGCAGGTGTGAGCCCTTGGGCTGGGGCATTTTCCAGGGAGTGATCAGAATTCACTTGTTGGAGGCTGAGAAGCTGGCCCAGAAGGACAGCTTCCTGGGACTGGGATGCAAGTCAGACCCCTACGCCAAGGTGAGCATCGGCTTGCAGCATTTCCGGAGCAGGACCATCTACAAGAATCTAAACCCCACCTGGAATGAAGTGTTTGAGGTGAGTCTCCTCAGCCTTCACCCAGGGTCTCACTGGGCAGTCGAGAGAAACACGGGTACCACAGGGAATCGCAGGCCATGGGAGGGAGCCCTGGGGACAGGAGGCAGGTCCGTGCAGTCCCTACTTCCCTATCACCCGGCTTCGGAGGTGGGCCACACAACCCCCCAGGGCAGCCCGTATGTGCAGCTTTCAGTCAGTACCTTCTTTCCCCTTGAGTCATCTCTTTTGGAAGTTTTTAGATCAAAGAAAGAGTCCCTCGGGCAGTTCTGCCTTATCCCTTTCGGCCTCAAACACCAGGACCTGCAGTTCTTCCTTACATTCAGCCATGATCCTACTTGAAGAGCAGAACCCAGAAGACCCCTCAGTTCCATGTTCAGAGCCACCTCCTAGTTGCAGACTCCCACCCTCCCCTCCCAACACACCATCCACATGCTCTGTTGTGGGGGCTGAGGCAGTGAATGGAGGGGTGATAAAGGCAGCTGTTTCCTGGTGTCCCATGCTGAGGCCCAGAAATGTGATGGGCGAGTGCACTGGAAGATTTAAGCCTGATGCAGAGCGGGCAAGAGCCACTGTGCCCTGAACACCTGCCATGGGTGTGCACTTGTTGCCTCTAATCTTCCCTGGGAGCCTGCAGGGGTGAGAAACTGCTCGTCTTACAGGTGGGGCTCCCGGGGACTGAGACAGCCAGAAACTTGCCAGGGTACCAAGCTGGCATTTGGCTCCTTCTGGGTCATGTCTGATCCATCAGCTGTGACCTGCACATCAAGACATTTGTCTTTCTTTCCAGTTCATGGTGTATGAAGTACCTGGTCAGGACTTGGAGGTGGACCTGTATGATGAGGATACTGACAGGGATGACTTCCTGGGCAGGTGAGGAGGGGTGGGGCTGGCCTGGGGTGTCTGGGCTGGAACACTGCTGATTATGTTACCACTGCTGAATGACCTGCAGTCTTTCTGGTCGCTCAGACATGCTGACTGTGGAAATGACTGTCCCACCGTTCCACAGTCCTGCCCAGATGTCTCAAGTCCCCAGCCCTGACATAGGTTCTTGGGGGTAACAGAGAGGACCCTGAAGCCTGTGCTTTGCTTTTTCCCCAGACTACTCTTGGAGCAGTGAGAGAGGTTAGTGTGGATGGCCAGGTGCCCAAGCCCAAGGAACCCTGGCCCTCAAAGATACAGAAGGATTGGAGTGGCTGGAGTGAGGCTGATAGTATAACCTCAAATTTACCTATCTAAAACAGTCCCACTTTCAGGATTCTATAAATTAAGAGTATGAGTACTTAAAATACTAATTGTAGAATCTGTGGTAGCAAAACAAACCCCCTCCTCACTGCAGAGACATGAATGGCCGGTTGCAGAGGGCCCTGGCTGAATGTTTGAATACCTTTGCCATTGCCAAAAGACAGAGAATTCTGCAGCTTTCAAAACTAGTGGAATCTATGTGTATGGCTGGGCGGCCATCTGGGATGTGTTAGTAAGTGGGGTGTAGTTGCACTCATCTTTCTAGGAGAGGCCCTAAGAGTGCATTTTCACCTGTGTCTATGAACAGAAAGAGCATGGCAGCTACAAATTGTGCTGTTAGCACCCTCCCCTCAGTGCAGGCGGTGCTAGATCTACATACCCACTACTTACGTGCTTTTACACGGAAATGACATTCTCCTGTCAGGACCTCCTGATGTGTTTTGGCTCAGGATGATCCTAGGGATGCTGTGATGTGGGAGTGACCTCCTCTCTCACGTGCATGGTATCTGTACTTAACCCTTCAAATCAGAGGGGGCATTTTAGATGCTAAAATGACTGCAGGAGGTAGTGCCACTGGCATTCAGAGGGCACAAGACTGGGACGCTAAATTCCTGCGGTACATGAGCAGTTTTGCAGCACTGCTGCTGAGAGATCCAGAGGCATGTGTATAGCAGCCTCTGCTCATCCTGTCTGGGCCTGATAGCCATCCCCTCTCCTGGTGAACACGTGCCCAGTGGAGCAGCCTTGATGGTTGTTAGCTGATTCTTCACCTCAGCTACAATTGGTCTTCCATTGGTTTCTTGGGATGTGTTAAGGTACACTGACTTAATGGCCCCACTCATACCTGAAAATAGATTCCAGGGTGGGTCTGCAGGCCCTCTGTGGATTACTGCCTTTGATTTGTGCTGAATCCCTCTCCTTGTGTCTTCCAGCCTGCAGATCTGTCTCGGGGATGTCATGACGAATAGAGTGGTGGATGAGGTAGAGCTGGTGCCCACACCCCTGTCCCCGAGGGTTCTTGGTGTAGCCCCCTTTCTGCGAGTAACTCTAGCAGGGTGCTTCAGCCCAGCTACTCCTATGAAATGGGCCCTCTTTGCTGGGCCACACACACGCCCATCCTCAGGGACAAGAGCCGAGTGAGGCACAGATGGCTCCAGGGATCCCCCCAGAGCCCAGGTTGGAAGAAGCCCACAGAATAAGGTGCCCAGCGGGGGGCAGTCACATCGCAGGGGAGGCCAGGCTGGGCCTTTGTTTTACACCCAAAGTGTAGTACTTCTGCCCTCCTACAGCCACCTCTGCCAGTCCTCCTGAGTCCAGGCTGCACCCTGTCTGGGTTGGCTCACACTTTCCTCAGAGTCCCTGTTAAGGCTCGCCAGGTCCCAGGAATGAGTGGCCCAAAAGGCTTGGTAGCATCTCCGTTTGAGCTTTTTCTCTCCTGCCTCCACCCCAGTGGTTTGTCCTGAATGACACAATCAGCGGACGGCTGCATCTGCGGCTGGAGTGGCTTTCACTGCTCACTGATCAGGAGGCGCTGACAGAGGTGAGTGTCATTGGCTCCCTAGCAGAAAAGGGGAACGTTTCAGGGTGTATACAGGTAGAAGGGAAAGAGACAAAGCTCTCCACTTCTTGCTCATCTCCCAGAGAATATGTCACTCAGCCCCCTTTCTTCACCCAGGGCAGCCCGTGAACTACCTCAGCAACAGCCTCCAAGCATCTCAGGCATCTTCAGGAAGGAAGAGGTCCTTAGAGTTCTTGTGTCCATGCATGTCATCCCAGCTCACAAGGGATGTACCCTTGTGTCTGACTTGAATCTGTCATGCTGTGGTTATTTTCTTAGCCGCAACACAAGTGTAGGTAGTAAGAGAGCTATGGCTAGTCTTGACTGTGAGGGCTGGCTTCCTTCTGCCACGAGTTGGCTTCTCTAAAACCAATCTTTCTCCTGATGCCAGGGACACTCACTAAGAGCCTGTGTCACTTTTCAGGACCATGGTGGCCTTTCTACTGCCATCCTTGTGGTCTTCCTGGAAAATGCCTGCAACCTGCCGGTGAGTGGTGACATGTTCAGAGTGTCACACACACCCTCCCTAGTACCTATCATTTCAAATTTCCAAGGTGTTTAACCCCGATCCTTCTTACGCTGCAGAGAAATCCTTTTGACTACTTGAATGGTGAATATCGAGCCAAAAAACTCTCCAGGTTTGCCAAGGTAAGCATGAATGGTCCAAAAACTCAGGGGGCAAGTCCTACCTTTCCTGGAAAGTAATATGGGATAACAGGAGGTGTTGGTGCCCTTCATTGTGTTTCCTGTGTGCCAAGCACTGGGCTTGGCGGCTCCTTCCCATTCATTATCCTGGTGGCTACAGTCAGTTTTTATTGCTAACTTTCAAACTCAGATGATTACCCAGGTCGGGGATTTAGCTCAGTGGTTCTGCCACCTGCCTTGGAAGTGCAAGGCCCCAAGTTTGATCCCCGGTACCAAAATAAAATTAAAAATAAAATAAGCTTGTCTTCTTAAAAAGGGTGGAGAGCAGGGATTTAGCTCAGTGGTTCCGCCACCTGCCTCACAAGCACAAGGACCTGAGTTCAATCCTCAGTACCAAAACAAACAAAAACCCCAAAAGATTAAGTGCCTGGGTGAAGAAACTGGGTACTTGACTCTACCCTGCTTATTTCCATAGCCTCAGGGAAAGAAAGCCTGTTCCCAGCCAAGCTCTGGCTTAGGTATCCTGTCTGTCTCTGACTCGAACCTCTCTAGGAGTCAGCCTTGTACTAGTGGCTTGCATAATTGTGGCCTAGGAGGCCTGGAGCACAGGCAGCCTCCTCAAAGGGAAGCAGCTGTCTGCTCCAAGGCCCACTGATGCTTGGGTGGGGTTTGGGGCAGAGACAGGAACTCTAGCAGATCCTGATGGCACCATCTTCAATATTGTGGGTTTTCCTGCTTCACAGAATAAGGTCAGCAGAGACCCTTCTTCCTATGTCAAGCTATCTGTAGGCAGGAAGACATATACGAGTAAGGTAAGAGCTTGGTGTGCGGGCCTGGGGAAGGAACTGGGCAAAAGGGAAGGAAATTAATTCATACTGAACACCTAGTAGGAACTTTAGACCTCCCAAGAACTTCACAAAATTTTATCATCCAAGCTCTGAGGATCAGAGATACTAATTGACTTGCCCAAGAGCAGTGCTACAGAGCAACAGATTAGGGTTCAAGCTTGGGTATGGTTTTAGAGCCCGTCTTTTCCACCACACCACGAAGCCCTCAGCCCAGTACCAGACATCCTGTTGGCCCCACTCCCTCAAATTGAGCTCTCAACACCGTACAATTTTCAGCCCTCAGTAAAACTTCTGGCAAGGCCCTCCTTGCCTTTGAGTGTGGCTGCCCTACCTTGTGTCCCCTGGCTGGAGTATTGTGGGTCTGATCCCAGGGCAGGTAAGGTTCCCATTGGTGGCCAGATAGCAAAGCATGCCAGCATCCAGCTCTGCCCAACTTGACCTTAAATGACCTCCCCCTTCTATTCCTAGACGTGTCCCCACAGCAAGGACCCTGTGTGGAGCCAGGTGTTCTCCTTTTTTGTGAACAACGTTGCAGCTGAGCAGCTCCATCTGAAGGTTTGAACCTGCGCTTTTGGGAGAAGAGATTTCTAAGCTAGGAGGGCTTCTGAGCCTTGAGCAAGTTCCAGCAGTATTTAGCCTCTGGTACATGGGAGAGGACATTGAGGCCCCATAAGGTCACTGCCATTGGTGCCCAAGGTCACTGCGTAGGAGGCTTTGGGAAGACAAACCCCTACAAGTACCTTGGCTCTCCCTGAAAAGGGTCTCTGCAGTTGTTACACAGCACTCAGAGTGGCCTACGTTGGTGTCTATGCAGGACACTAATAATGGTATACTTGTTTACATTTTTTTCATTGAATCATCTAAAAATCTGCTGGAAGAGATCAGCTCCTTTTATACATAAGCAAACAGATGGTAAATCATTTATTTGCTCACCATCTCATGACTGACAACTGGTGGAGCTGGGATCCTTTGGGATCCCGAGTCTGGCCTGGATGTCTCCTCATGAAGCAGCAGAGCTTGCTGGTTCCTAAGGCCTCAGAAGAACCATAATCACCTCTGTCCTGAGTCATTCTCTTCCTGACTGCAGGCAGAGACCAGGTCTGGCCTAGCCTCATACCAGTTTCCAGAAGCGAACCACTTGCCAAATACGTACTGAAGTAAGCCCAGAAGGCAGTGGTGGTACAGGTAGGCTTAGCCATCTTCTTGTTTGTGACTGGCCCACTGCCCAGGTGCTGGATGATGACCAGGAGTGTGCTCTGGGAGTGCTGGAGTTCCCCCTGTGCCAAATCCTCCCCTGTGCCGACCTTACCCTGGAGCAGCGCTTTCAGCTGGACCATTCAGGCCTGGACAGCCTCATTTCCATGAGGCTGGTACTGCGGGTAAATCTCTCATATCCCCTGGGTGGCAGGGCGAGTGAAGCTCGGGGTATGGAGAAGGTTAACTGTCCCAGCACTAAGCTCTAAACAGTTTTCATCAGCTTTCGTGTCCTGCCACTCATCTCTTCCAATACTGCCTTCGCCCATTTTCTAACCCCTTAGTTTGGAGCTTCTATACCGGACCGTCTCATGTCTGCCATGTCTCTTGACCTCACCTTCTGTTTCCCATTTACTTCCTCAGCACTTTTTCAGGAATCTCACTTTCATGGACCTCACTGCAAATCTCAGAATAGCTTAAATTTTAAATTTTATTTTTTCAGTTTTCTATTTTTAAAAAGAATTATGCTTGTTTTCTTATGAATATGGCTTTCTTATGAATATGTGCATTTAAAAAGATTCATTTTATTTTGGTATAAAAGCTCTTTTAGAATACTTGGATTACTATAGTTCTGTAAATGAAATTCCCTAGGAAGGGTCCTGGTGATTGACGACTGAGAAGAAAAGGGAAAGAAAAAAACACAATGGCTGGGGTTGTAGAAGTGGTGGGCCCAGTCCATAAACTACCCTGTTGTTTGCTTCTAGTTTCTGCAAGTGGAGGAACGAGAGCTGGGGAGCCCATACACAGGACCTGAAGCTCTAAAGAAAGGTCCTCTGTTCATAAAGAAGGTGGTTACCAACCATGGTCCCAACGCCCCACCCCAGGGAGAAGGCCCTGCAGACTTGCTGTGTCCTCCAGACCCTGCTGCTTATGCCATGGATGCCTCCAAGAGTACCCTAACCACTACCAGTGCTTCCAGCAACCCTGTACCCCGAGAGACAAGCCTAGAGCCCAAAGGCAAAGACAGTGCCAATGGGTTCTGTGAGCCCATGGGAAAGAAGAGGAGCTCAACCACCATCTTCCTGACTGTCCCAGGCCCCCATTCTCCAGGACCCATCAAGTCACCCAGACCCATGAAACGCCCTGCTTCCCAATTTGCATGGCCGCCCAAGGGCCTGGGTCCCAGCATGACCTCACTTAACTCCCTGGCCTCTTCATGCTTTGACCTGACAGATATCACCTTCAACACTGAGTATGCACCTCTCTGCTTAATCTTTTCTGTTGTCACCTGCATGAAAACTATTTCTTGGATGTAGAAGTAGAGATGAACTTAAATACCTGTTCAAGTTCTGCTTTTCCATAGAATACTGTATATTCACGAGAGGCAGCAATGTGTGGCAGAACACAGGACAAGGGAGAAAGCTAATCTGGTTATGGCTCATGCTAAATACTGACTATAAAGTAGATGTTGGGCTTCAGTTAATGTCCCTTCTAGCAGACACATTTCCTGAGTTCTAAAGTACTGAAGTATAATGTGAAAAGCTTAAGATACAGAATTATGTAACAAAGGGCTGCTATTTATTGTTTTGTTTTTTGAGACAGTGCCTCACTATGTAGTTGAGTCTGACTTGGAACTCACTATGTAGCCCAGGCTGGTCTTGAACTCAAGCGATCTTTCTGCCTCAGCCTCCCGAGTGCTGGGATTACAAGTGTGCGCCACCATACCCGGCGTATTTATTGTTTACTATGGACAGAAGATTTTATCTGATTTAATTCAGTCTTCACCATAACTCTAAAAGAGACCTTAGTATCATAAAAGTCAAATTAACACAAAGCCCTACAAGGAACTGTGATACAAAGGTTGATCCACTCCAGTGTTGTGTTCTTCCTACTGCAGAGTAGGGTAACTATATCTGATACTGGATGGAACCAACTTCCACCGGAAAGGAACCTAGAATTGTGACCCCCATATGGCTCCGTTCCTGAAGTAGGACATACTTTGGTCTTGAGGAGAGTTAACACCTGCTATGACAAGAGACGTGACAAGCTCTTTCTTCACAGAGTTGGCAATTGCAGGCAGCGGGGCCTTGGCGAGATCCAGCTCACGGTGCGCTATGTGTGTCTGTGGCGATGCCTCAGAGTGCTGGTCAATGGCTGCAGGTAAAGGGATTCTGGGACAGGAAGGTTCTTTAGAAGCATCAGGGGACCATAAATCAAGGTTGGGGCATGTGGAGCAATGGCAAGGGCATGTGGTAGACTCAAAGTAGTAACACATTGGGAAGAAATGAAACTTGAAGGCTGCATGCTGTGAGAGGCAACAGGCACACTTGGGTGCTTATTCACTCATGGTGTTGATGGGCTCCAGAGCCAAAGGCTGTGTTCAGACACAATCACAGGTTGGCTGACAGCCAATAGATTTTCCCAAGGAGAAATTCCTAACTTAGATGGAAAGTACTTATTCTACTTCAAACCACAAAACTGCATATTTTCAAAGTTATGCACCTGATATTTTGTCCTCTAAATTCTGGAGACTTTCAGAGTTTGGTCATGTAGATCACAAAAGATGTTTATTCTGAAGCCCATCTAAAGGCAAATGGTTTAGCTTTCTCCCAAATGACTATTTTCAGTGTTTGAAATCCAGGGGCCTTTTTTTCCCCCCTACAAATCAGAAACTTGACACCGTGTACCAGCAGTGGAGCTGACCCCTATGTTCGTGTCTACTTGTTGCCAGAAAGGAGGTGGGCAAGTCGTAAGAAGACCTCAGTGAAGCGCAAGACCCTGGAACCCCTGTTTGATGAGACGTAAGTGGGCTGTGCGTCTCCCTCAAGGGTCTGCGCCTGGTAAACTGCCAGATGCTGGAGGAGGCCAGGGCTGTACAGGATTAACACAGTCTGACTTCAGGAAGCCTCTATATACTTTTTGGTGGGAGAAAAGGAATGCCAGGCCAGTTTATCAGAAAGGCTACCCACGTTTAACTGCCCACTGAGACTAAAGTGTTCCTGATTATGGAATGTTCTATACTCATTCTCTTTAAATATTTTGGCGGTAATAGGATTTGAATTTAATTAAAATTTTTCTGGGGGATGTTTTAATGGAACCTAAGGATCTAAAATTTCTTCCAAGGCTCGAAGCTTTGGCCCTCCTGCAACATAATGGAGATGGCAGGTGAAACAAATCCTTTCTCCTTCACAGAGGCTTGCTTACCCATGTCCTTAGGAAGAAAACTGCTTGGCAGATTCCAATCACAGTAAAATAAAACAGTCTTGATAATCCTCAAGGTGCTGAAGCCAGGACTTCACCATTACGTCCTTCTACTTCAGAATCCTAAGAAAATCTATTTTAGCCAGTTTAGGAAGATGGTACCCTTCCTAATTTTGGTTTTTACTCTGGTCAATACTTATTTTTAACGGGTTGTAAATGATTCCTTTTGACCATATCTAAGAACTAACATGTTTGAGTTTGTCAATATCAAGAAAGGCTATGGAGAAGAAAATTTATCATTACTGAATGCTGGCACCATCATACAGTGTAGAGCCATATGAGAGACTGTGCCCCAGACAGCTCTGACACATAAAGGTGTCAAAATGCTATGTAGGGGCAGACGGTACAGGTTTAACATTGCACTTTTAAGACAATCTATTTCTTCTTTCAAATTTAGAACAGCATCATAAGCTGGGGATTATCTAGAAGACAGACTTGGCCATCCCCACCTTAAACCTATATATAAAGGTTCCAGGGGTCCCTCAAGAATACCTGATAAAGATTCCTCTGCCTTACTCCACAGGAGGCAGCTATTTTTGGAGAGGCACTTCTCAGAAAGGCCTCTTTACACTTCTAGGGCAGCAATTAGCCATACTCTATGCACTGAGGTACTCAATCGATTAATTATGAGTCAGTACTATTCCAGATGCTCCTGTTTTAGTGGGGAACTAGATGAAACACTTCAAATTTTCCACCAAAATGACTGAAATATGTAAATCTCATTTCCTGAATTTTTTGCTTCTTAAAGATTTGAATTTTTTGTTCCCATGGAAGAAGTGAAGAAGAGGTCACTAGATGTTGCAGTCAAAAATAGTAGGCCACTTGGCTCACACAGAAGGAAGGAGTTAGGAAAAGTAAGTATACAAGACTATTGGTGTCCTGGTGGTGGAACACATCCTTGCAGAAATTCTGACAAAATCATTAGTAGAACTGTCTTCATAAACCTCACTGGGATTTTTCATATTCTTTAAAGAATACAGACATAAATCAATATGACAACCTATTTTAATTCAAGAATCCAAATTCAGCATTCCACAAGTTTTTGAACACCTGCCAGGGTATTAACTCCCAGGAATATGCTCAGGAGAGACCCACCCAACAAATATTTGTGCAGTACTTTGTAGCTGTTATATTTTAATATTCACCTTATACTCACCTCTTTAAAGCACCCACTTCTAGGAGGTAGACAGTATTGTCCCTGTTTTTACAGATAAGGCAAGTTTTCTTTTTATAACATTTAAAAACTCAAAAAGAAAAAAACAAAATAAAACAAAACCTCAACTAGAACTCTGAAGATCACCTTGCCTTTTTTCAGGACAATGCCTGCACTGTCCCTGTAGAGAGGCTCCAATGTGGAGCCAAAAGAAAAAAACCCTGCTTAAAATCTCTTAAAATCTGAAACCTAAGGGGATACTTACTTTACGATCAACTCAGTTTATCCCAATGTGCTTCTGTTTAATGCAGTGTTTTATATGGGAATTATTTGTGATCCTTAGGTACTGATTGATTTATCAAAAGAAGATTTGATTAAAGGCTTTTCACAATGGTAAGAGTGCTTCCTTATTTTATCACTGTTAACCTGCTATTTAGATATCCCACATTTTCTCTCCAAAGTTATTCCCTTTCAGTAATATTTAAGAAAGGAGACAGATTAATACCTTATGGCAGTGATGGCAAATCTTTTAGCGATAAATGCCCAAAGTGCAACCCAAAACCCACTTATTTGTTGCAAAGTACCAACACTGAAATAACCCGAATACTGAGATTTTAGTTTAGAAAAAACAATTCATACAATACGCATGTCACATAGTTTGCCCACTGCCACCTGCAGATCTCATCCATGTGACTTCTGTAAATTCTAGCCTTAACTTTGCCTGGCCAACTCAAGAGATGGGTCTGCAGGCTCCAGAGGCCCAGACATCTTATCCTGTTATAGCTACAACACACTGACCTTCTAACACAAGTGTAAACCCCACTGTCTTACAGGTATGAGCTGACTCCAGATGGACAGCCCAGAAGCTGATGAGTACTATTATCACCAATATGTTATAATGTGTACATATGTATATTGTTATTTAAATAAGTCACCTGAATATATATAAATATATTGTATAAATAACTATGACTAGTATTAGAGGCAGAGTTATATAAAGAACTACTTCATCTTGGTTAATTTGTTCAAGTGGGGTATTTATATCTAATAAGTCATCAGAACTTCAGTAGTGGTTTTTTACTTTTGGTAGATAATTATACACATTTGATTTAGGACTTGCTTGAACGTATACACCAGAAAGTGTCCCACACTTGATATAAGGGTCAAGAGAGTCCTGTTCCTGGAGTAGCTAACAGTTATTCCTTGGCAACTACTAATGAAGGGAGGGCACTTATGTGGAAATACTGACCCAGCCCCAAACTGCCAACAGCTAGTACGGCCAGAGCTGTTGGGGCTGCCACCTGTGACGTTTCTATGGTTAGAGATTCACTTCTGCATCTGATTTGGAGCTAAGATCCCCTTTCCTAATGGCAACCATGTTATACTTAAATACTCTGGAAATAACTCCACATGCTGGGGCCCCTACCATAGGACAGTGCAAGCCAAGTTCCAAACCCAGGTGTGATCTGAACTTACAGCAGAGCTTTGGAAACTGCAGAAGAGTATCATTAAAAGCTTGAGGATTCTATTCCACTTTGCCAGGAGATAGCTGCTTCACCTAAGGTTACTTAAGGTTAAAAGACAAATAAGTAGCTGGGGATTTAGCTCAGTGGTTCTGCCCGCCTGCCTTGCAAGCGCTAGGACCTGAATTCGATCCCCAGTACCAGAAAAAGAAAAAAAAAAAGCCAAATAAGTAAAGTGAATATGAAAAGTGCCTCTTATGCATTTCAAACTTGAAAGACCAAATGGTCTTGTTGCCCCCTCTCTGTTCTTATTAACTACTTCTAAAGGTCACATCATCTCCTCTTACCTTATGACAACACTCCAGTCGTAAGTTGTTTGTCCCCACCATTGCCAACATTTTAAACATTTTTATCATGTTACTCTCGCTTATAAATTTTCTGTAAAAATCAAAGCACACTCCTTAATCTGCTTAAGACAATCTGGTCTCAGGTTTCTTCTGCTTTGTTCATCACCTTCACTAAGCCAGACCACAACGAAATGGCCTATTCCCACCTTCTCTGGAGCATTTTCCATTTTAACAATTCTGTCTTTATATAACAGCAAATTGTAAAAAATGTTTACTACGTATCAACTAAGGTTACATGCTGTGTTATGTATGTCTGGTACTGAACATTTCAGTTTATACGTCAAGTTGAACTCTATACTACCTGAATTGTTTTCAGCCTTGCCACCCAAGCCTGTGCTAAGTATATGCAAGATGCATAATAAAATGTTTCTGCTCAGACTTCTATTCTCAACAATAAATTCTCGTAATAAACTATGGCAGATTATGCTTATCCCATATACTTCATGCCAACATTGTAATTGCTCTCTAAATAGAAAAGTGCCTTGAAGGGGCCACGCCCATCTTACAAGCACAAGGTCCTGAGTTCAATTCCCTGGTACCAAAGAAAACAACCAAAACAAGTGCCTTGAAAATGGTAGAGTATCAAAGAAGTATCAGGGAATTTATCATATATTCCATCCTAAACACTAGCAATCCTAAAATAACGATTGATCAAGGTGGCAGACAAACAAAACTCTCTAGGGGAGCTCTCCCCAAACAAAGTAACAGGTAGTTCCTAATTCTTCTGCAAGCTATTCTGGTTTTCTTCTTTTGGTCAGAAATCAGATGAGGAGTTAAAGTGTTGAAGAGAAAGACAATTTTAGTACACACCAGACAGGAGGCAAAGTTTTGTCTCAACAGAAAACACCTTGCCTGACAATGAGGTCAAGAACAGGTTGGCAGCAAGAGGTGGAAACAATCAGCTAAACTGCCCTAGAGGAGCACAGAGTCTGAAGTCACTTACCATCAACCTGAAACACAAACCCCTGAAAACTAGAAAACATTTAGAACCTGGAATCCTCTGAAAACCTGAGTTAACTATAACACTGGCCCTTGGGGTTGCTACTTGCATCCTGGGCACACAGACCACTGTAGCAGACAGCTGCCAGGAATGGGAACTTGTAAAAAATAAACTATTAAGGCAGAAATGGCACAAGAGATACAAAAATACCTGTAAAATACATTGGCAAGCATGTCTTGATCATTCAAAAAATATAGACAAGCATATTAACTACTGTAACAAATACCTGAAATAATCACCTCATAACTAAAAGTTCATTTGTCTCACAGTTTTGGAGGTTTCAGTCAGTGATGACCTATGTATGGCAAGGGATATTAGGAAAATATGTCAACTATGAATTTCTACGTATTTAGAAAATTAGGCTCAAAATTAAAAATTCTGAAATTTTATATTTTATCTCCTAGAAACTAACAAATCAAGCATGAAAAACTGGTATAAATACAGATTTAAATAACACTAACACAATGTATATTGAGAATCGACTTAAGACTATATGGAACATGTATAAAAATTCATCTAAAGCCACAAAGTCTCAACAAATTTTAAAGACTCAATACCAAAAAGACTATACAATGTTCTCTAACCACAAGGCAATACAATTAGAAAAACAAAAACTGCGCTGGGCAATGTCTTAAGTTACTTTCCTCTTTGCTTAGAATACTGGAAACACAAAGCTAGAGGAGGAAAGGCTTATTTAGTCTGTAGAAGTTTCAGTCCATCATCAGCTGGCTCCCAGGTGAGGTGGCATGGCAGAAGAAAAACAGTCCACGGCCAGGTAGGCAGAAGGCACCAAGTCTATTTTTCTCTTTATATTCTACCCAGGGCACAAGCCTACCCAGGGTATAACCCACACCCAGATCTATGCTAAACCAATCAGTGGACTGATTTAGTTATCACACATTCTTAGTCCACATTCACACACCCTAGATCCAGCCACCTCCAAAAAGTTCCACCTATGAGGACATGAAGCTTTCTGGAGATATCGAGATACAAGCCATAACAAGCACATGCTCTACCATTAAACTATATATGCCTAACAAGTGCAAAGTTCTAGGTTCAATCTCTGGCACCAAAATAAATTTTAAAATGTTAAGTTGCAAAAACAATCCAAGAAACTACATCTTTTTAGACTTCAAATTGTAATTCTAGAGGGGGACATGGTTGTGCATGCCTGTAACCCCAGCACTCAGGAGGCTCAGGCAGGGGGACAGAGTTCCAGGCCAGGCTGTCCTTCATAGTGATACCCTGTCTCAAACTACTGCCCCACCCTACTCCCAACATACTTCTAAACTTCTATTTCTAGCCAGGATGGAGTAACAGACACCGAATTTACCCCTCTGCTTGTAACAAATAATGTACAAATAAAATAAAAAGTAAATTAAAAAACCCAAACCAGACAAAATACATAAAATAGTCTTAGACATCTATGTTTATATGAGTATTTGTAGATTGCAATTATATAGTAGACAAAATTGGAAGCCCGAATTTCCATCAACAGGTGAAGGAATAAGTTATGATATATCCATACAACAGGACACTACACAGTAATAAAAAATGAACTAATGCAACTTGTAAAACTCTCGAAATAATTATTCTGAAAAAATGCCCAGCCAAAACAAAACAAATATATTAAATCCTATGAAGTACAAAATAAACTACTGTGATGGAAAGCAGATTAAAATGTTGCCTAAGGATGGGTGAAAATAGGAAGGATTAGCAAAGGCATTAAGAAAACTTTTGGAATAACGGGCATTTAAAGTGTTGGTGGTGATTATTTCATTATATGTCTGAACTTACTAGATTCTGTATGAAGTGTGTACAGCTTATATGCCCATTATACCTCAATAAAATTGTTAAATCAATTATGTGTTTTCATTTAAATACTGCTAATAATTGTAGTACTTTTATTTATAATTTTTTTAAAAATTGATAACAGCAGATCTGATAGGGATGGCTTAAAGCTGTTGCTATTAGTGTCGCTGTACTTCTCAGTGGTCCTTCAAGAACCTCCAGGGCCAGGGATTTAGCTCAGTGGTTTCGCTGCCTGCCTCACAAGCACAAGGGCCTGAGTTTGGTCCCTAGTGCCAAAAAAGAAGAACCTCTAAAACAATCACAGGCCTCTAGAGAAGTGTTTGAAAACTTCTATATTAAACTAAGAGTTAACTATAACTCAAACTAGCTAACACAATTTAGATGAAAATAATATTCTGAGTGTATTTCTAATATTCAAACTCATAGCAGTTTCCTGGGATAATTTAATCAATTTAGAGTATATTATCAAATATTCAAATAGTATACATTTTCTACTCAATCTTTGAAACATGTTCTTTACAAATTGTGGGCTAGTGTTTAGAAATGTAAATATAGGTTAACAAAACAATTTTAAATTTAGAAGGAATCCAAAATTTATCTCCTATCTTCCTAAGCCTAAGGTCACACCACCAAGGATGTGGATGCTGATCTTCTGACATTTATTCAATGTACCATGCCTCCTGGAAATGCTCTACAATATTCTATGTGCCACCTGGCAAGAATGACTGAGAAATCTTTCTGGGCCTGTTACTTATAAAAAGGAAGATAGGGGTAGCTTGAAGTAGTTTGTACTCATGGACGTGATGCAGAACCCTGGTCCCTTAAGAAAATCAGACTGAATATTGAGAATACAGAATAAATGAAAATCAGAATAGAACTTTTAATGTAAAATGCACAAAGGGTAAAACTAGTTGCCCAAAGCTCAGCCTAGGAAGAATATGACTCGTTATTTGTAAATAATATAAATAAGCCACTAAGGACACTTATATTTGGAAATTGTTTTACAAAAATTTTATTTGAGACCATATCCCCTTTTAAAAAGCACACTGCATCAACACTTCAAAAAAGGCATTAAAAAAAGGGATTCTATCTACTCATCTATTTTATCCCATGATTCACTTCTTATCCTAACACAAACATAAAACTTTTTTTTTCCTTTCTCCTTCTGAAAAGATAGCTGCCATGAGGGATATCTTCATAGAATATGCCAATTAATCCTTGCCAGGAAAGCAGCTTACTACTGACGGGACTTGGCATTCCTTTTGTCCTGACCTGAAGGTGAATAAACTTAAATACAATTTTTCTATTATTTAGACTCAATGCCTGGGTCTTTTCTCACAAACTCTACCCTAAATTTTAAGCACTCAAGAATTGCTTAAGAAATGATTAAGAGATCTAAATTAATTCACTATTTTAATAACTAAGCAGCTATTTTTTAATAAAAGAATCTCAAAGTTAATAAAAAATTATAAGGAGAATCACCCAGTACTAAGAGGATGATTCCAAAAGCAAATATATTTTATACTTTTTGTTTCAAGATCAATCCTACATAATATTTAGAATGGTAAAAATGCACTTTACACACTAAAATGATTTGTTTCAGTATGAAAGTACTTTTAATTTCTTTACTGCAGGTACAATGGCATCCAAGTCTTCAATTTCTGTAATGGAAAAACAAGAATAATAAAGAAGAGAAACTTTTGTTAGTGATAAGCTCAGAGGAAATGAGAACCTCTATGGAGAGGTAAATGTCAAACATAAAGGTACAAGAGCTTCTCCCTAGTAGTGCAGATAGATTACTAATACAGACACAGATGCTTCATAAGGCATCTGTTTATAAAAGCTACCCACCCCATCTACAAGTCCTCTTCTACTCTGGCATTAACCTTACTAGCAATGTGCTTTTATCAACGGATCCAACTAGCCAAGGTTACATTTGTGCTTCTTCAGATCTGTGTAACTACAGGGGTGAAATCCCTGGTAGAGGCATCTCTTTCCTGGGTCTCTACCTGAGGACTTAGGAATTTCTTCTCAGAACACTGTGCTCCTTATTGGATGTCTTAGGAAGGAAGATTCCTCACCAGTAGAACACTTACAGGTCTACCTATATGAAAAGGATCTATCTAGTAAGAGATGCAAGGTACCTCAGAGAACCAACCTCAAGTGCAATATATTATTGCATTTAGCCTGGTCCAGCTGATTAGACAGACTAATTCAGGTTGACAGGTTCTTTTGAATTTTTCTTTCTAAAGATGTCTTATTACAATAAGTGTAAGTTAGAATTTACTCACTGAATCTCCTGACTACCAAAGAAGCAAATTCCTTTCTCTCATTATCTAGATTAAGTATTATCCCTACTACTGGCTTGATGTGGAGGCATCTGCCTGTACGCCTAACACTCAGGAGGCTGAAATGGGAAGATCACTGTGAGTTGGAGTTAGAGGCCAGCTTGAACTATATAATGAGACCCTGCTTAAAAAAAAAAAAAAAAAATGAAAAACCCAGGGGGGGTCTCCAGATATGCACTATTTTTTTTTTCTATACTCTGCTAGACCACTGTTCAAAAACTCATTTCTTTTACATAAAATACACTCCATGGAAAAAGAGCACCGTAAAAAAAAAAAAAAAAAAATGTAAAACCCAGTGGTGGTCTCCAGATATGCACTATTTTTTTTTTCTATACTCTGCTAGACCACTGTTCAAAAACTCATTTCTTTTACATAAAATACACTCCATGGATCTCAACACTCTCCATTGTTTAGCTAGATTTTCACTTTCCTTCATTTGGCCTAAATATAGGATCCATACTGTGCCACTATCCATCAGTTCTTTGTTTCTAACTCAAGTCAGAATACTTGTCTAGACCCACTTAATACAACAGAGAATTTGGCTCACTGTGATAAGGTACAAGATCAAGTTATTCCCCAGCTTCCCACCCCTACCTCATTCTGAAACCAAACCCATCTTCTCACCAAATGAGAAACTTGCCTTGTAAGTGAACCTCACAGAGAACACTGGTGGATAGGGGAAGTTTCTCAAGCAATCATACTACTTTATAAGAAAAAAAATATTTTCAAAAAAATATATTGAAGGGCTCAGGATTTAGCTCAGTGGGTGTCGCCACCTGCCTCACAAGCTCAAGGTCTTGAGTTCAATCCCCAGTAGCAAAAAAAAAAAAAAAAAATCTATTAAAGACAGTCTCCTGGTATTCAGTATACCACTCTGTACTAAATGACACTTGATGACATTCTGCCAAACAGATCTAATTTTCCCAAAGTTAAACATAATATTTAAGTCCAGAATTTCATCTCTGACCAGAATGCAGAATTCATCTGCAAAGAAACTTGGCTTTTTTTTTTGGTACCAGGGATTGAACTTAGGTCCTTGTGCTCACGAAGCAGATGCCGGAACCGAGCTAAATCCCTGGCCCTGAAACTTGGCTTTCTGAAGCAAATAATCTTACGCAAATCAGATTAACTATCATAATATTTAAGGTAAGCTTCTTTCTACAAAAGGATCTAAAATAAGAGCTTCACCTAGTATTAATGTACAAGATAGTATTTATTAGTGACTAGTACTGTTACCTTAGTGGCCATTCTAAAACAAATAGAATCATTGTATGAAACCAAGCTCTTCAAGATATTAGTAAACACACTTATACAAATTTCATACCTTAAATTTCAAGTTACACTTTGACTTGCTAGGACCTTTCCTAGTATGTTAGCATGCCTAAAGGACAATTCACTGTCTCCCTTGCTTTCAGTCTAAAAAAAAAAACCTCTCATTAAAACCTGTTATGTTCTCTAGACTACATATTCCAATCAAATATTTCCTTCATTTATAAATCTTCTTACCAAGTTTGAATTTAATTATTCCCTTATCTTCCTACTACCAAGCTTCATTTCTTTTAAAATCAGGTCATTCATTAAAAGAAAAAAATATTTTCAGTGAGCTACACAGAATTAAAAAAATTAGTGAATAAATCACTTTAAACTCTGAAAACAGTTAAACTGATTTTGTAATCATATGTAATTATATTTGAGTCTCTTTTGCCTATTTTTCCCCTTTAAGAGATACTAAGGAAGACTTCAAACTAACCTTATACATGCAATGCACTTCATCTCTTTCTATAGATGTTTACAACTTTACATTATTTACCACTGTAGAAGAAAATTTTTGAAAAGAAGAAAAAGGGTAAAGAAAGAAAGGCCTTCCAAAATTGTAAATTTTAACAGTATTTCTTAGCCAGGCATGGTGGCACACTCTTGTAATCCCAGCACTCTGGGAGGCTGAGGCAAAAGAATCACAAGTTTAAGTCCAGCTGGGTAACTTAAGGACCTAATAAGGCCAAAAATAAAATTAAACATACAAAAAAGGGCTGGAAATGTAGCTCATTGTGAAGCCCTGAGCTCAATCCCCACTACAAGAAAACAAAACAAAACAAAAAAACACCCAAGATTTCTTATTAGAATACGAAAGAGCCTGCAGGGATGGGCAGTCCCTATCTCCTTAAAGGCTCATTGCTTCCCTGTTCTGTGCATTGATTCTAAACAACTCTAACTTCAAGTTAGCAGTGTGTCTGACAATTACCAGAAGTAGTGGGTTCCAGACACTTTCAAGCATTCAAGGTAAAATTTGACTAAAGAACATTCTTCTCTCCAATCCACTGACATCTTAAGAGTCAAAATTTAACCACCAACAACAGAGATCTTACCTAAGATTTCAAGTAGATCATTAGTAAATGCCTGAAACGCTGGGAAAAATTCTTCATGTTCTTCCAGTTTGTTGATAATGCTGTTTAAAAAATGCACAGTTTACACCAAATTTCTAATTTAGGGTTCCTTGCACTTGATTGGACAAAGGTGGCTGTAAACAGAACATCTTCCAAGTGAAAAGAAACTATTCTACTAATTTAAATACAAATTTAGTGATCATTTACAATCTTTTTTGAATTCTTTGTTCATCTAACATCACTTTTCTAAAAGAATATCTTAATATCAGCGTAATCTGTTAAATTTGTATAACATTTATAACATGACATACTTAGCCCAAGACTTTAAAGAACTATATTTTTATAGTATTTTCTAAAAATAGGCCTTTATATCCAATATCTTATGAAAAATGAGAAAGACTATTAACAATAAAACTACTGAAGGGGGTGGAGAACAACGGAGAGATATATGTTCCTTTTAAAGCATCAAATACCAACACTCAAGCGTCAAGATTATAAAAGCATTCTTACTGGGTAAACTTGCAAATGCATTTTCCTTCCCACATGTTCCAGCATAAAATTGAAGGTGAGGGCTGGGGAAAGCTTATGTGTAGCTAACTATGTCTTAATTTTTGGCGGGGGTGGAAGGGACAGTGCTGAGGACTGAACTCAGGGTTTCATACATGCTAAGCACAACTTCAACCAGAGCCTACAACCAAAGCCCCTTAATATTTTGTTTTAAGTATCAGGTTTTATTTTATTTTTTAAATTATTATTTTTTTTTTTTGGTACTGGGGACTGAACTCAGGTCCTTGCGCTTGCAAGGCAGGCCACCAAACCACTGAGCTAAATCCCCGGTCCCTAAATATCAGGTTTTATATTAATGATGCCTAATCTTTTTTGAAAAAAAAATCCTTAACATTTATCTTCTAGTCAAATAATGTGTATACTATTAGTAATTATTCAGTGGTCTGTGATGTGTCCTAAAATAGGACTCCCATGAAGTAGTTTAAATGGTGTAACTTCCCCTGAGAACAGGAAAATGATGAAGTTTTTGGTTTGTAAACTTACAGGCCCTACAATCTACTTTATCTTGAATACTTGGCATTTTCTCTATGTCTAAGGGTGTGAGATTATCTTAGGCTGTCATTTTAAAAGTGCTGTTCCAAATAGGGAAAGTAAGTAACATGAAGGTTTGAATATTTTTAATTTTACCATTCCAAGCATTCTGAGTGATTATTTTTCAAACAAATACCTTTGGAGGTCTTCAGGTCCTAAGACTTGCTTAACCTGCTCATTCACATCCTCATTAACCAGCCTACACAACTTTCCAACTGTGCTTACCAGCACACACAATGAGGATGAGCTATCTGCAAAAGAGAAATGAAAGCACAGGATATTTTCAGAGACAATTTTCAAAATCACTGCATCCATCAAATATTTTACACTTCAGTTACCTTTGATTTATTTTACTTTAAAATTTTTTATCATTTATGAGGAATACTTCTTAAATGGGAACCAAAAATGACAAAAGGTCATCACCTAATTCTAAGAGTTCTTGAAGGTTTCTCACAGCATTGTTCATTTCTCCAAGCCTGGTATAAACTTCATTCATTCGGGGATAGACGCCATTTAACGAAGGCACATCAAATAATTTTTGGAAGTGAGAGACAATAGCTTGCAAAGTCTGAAAGTTTGGCATGTTGCTGTCCTGTTCAAAAGAAACAAACAAAAAAAAAGTTCACATCTTAAAATAATGCTGAACAGTTTCTAAAAAATTTAAAGTGTTAACATTTAGTAAGTATTACCTTTTCTTTATTTTCCACTTCTTCCAATATGGTATCTACCATAAACAACAGATTTTCAACTCTGACACCTTCATTTTCATTCTGTTTCTTAAAATTATGCCAGGGTACCAGCTCTGCTGATAGTATTTTCAAGGACTTATATAAATCCTTTAAAACAAAAGAAACTAGATAGTATTATTATTTTAATAAATAGTTCAAGCCTTTCCCAGCTTAACTGTCTGTCCACTTGCTCTCTATTTTTTTTATTGTGGTAAAATACCAAATGTCTTTTATCTTGTTTAAAATAAAGTTTATAGTTTTAGCCATTTTTAAGTATAAGTTCAGTGTTATTAAACAGATTTTGTTCAACCATCACCACTGTGTCTATTCCCCATCTGTCTTGTAAAATTGAAATACTCTACTCATTAAATAATTCTTCATTCTCCCCTCCCTTAGCAACCATCATTCTTTCAATCTCTCATTTTGACTACCATAATAGTTCACATAAATGGAATCATACAGTATTTGTCTTTTGATGAGTAACTTCTTTCACTTAGCATATGTTCTCAAAACATTCACCCATGTTGTGGTATGGGTTAGAATTTGTTTCTTTTTTATGAATGAATAATATTCTTCTAAGAGAAGGTAACTCTCAGCCAGGTGTGGTGGCACACACCTGTAATCCCGGAACTTGGGAGGCTGAAGCAGGAGGTTCATCATGTGTTCAAGGCCAGACTGGACTATATAGCGAGACCCTGTCTTAAAAGAAAAAAAAGAAGAAAAAAAAAAAAGGAGATTTCTGGGAAGATGGCAGAGTGGTGAACAGCAGAGAAATAGCCTCTCCAGGGTCTGGTGTCCAGATGCTGTGATTTGGCAATGTGAAGAGGAGGAGGAGGGAAGTGGGTCCCTAGGACTCAGCAAGGACGTGAAGTGAGATTGAAGCCCACAAGGGAAGTGAAGAGAGAGACCTCAATGCAGAAGGAGGTGGCAAGTGGTGTTTCTTCCCTGAGGCTTGACTCACTTGGTGGGAGGTGTGGCTTGAACCTGCAGATGCATGCTGACTACTAGTGACCCCAGAGGCCTCCATGGAGAAACACACAAGCAGAACAGAGCAGCTGATTCAACAGACTGTAGTGGCTGCTAAGTTACTCCGGTTCAGATGTTCTGCAGGAGAGGACAACTGGCCAGTCACCATCTTAGAGAGGGGCCAACTGAGCTCTGAATTCAGAGCAATTGTGAGTTGGCTCCATCTTGTGGCTCCCAGTGTCAGGGTGAGGTGGACCCAAGTCCAAATCATCAGGAGATCTAGGAGATAAATTCAAGCCAGCAGAAGGCACAGAATGTTGCAGGAATGAGGTTCCAGACCCACAGCCAAAAACCAGCCTGAACTTCAGTGTAACTAAAGGTGTAAACTTGCTGGATTATCCTGTACCTCACCGTAAATTTACAGTTGGCCTGCTGGGATTAATCGACATGGATCTGGGCTCTGTCTGTGTACTCTATCTACCAGTGATAGCAGAGACATACTCTAAAGTGGAAATTTCCTTTCTTTTTTCTTGATTGTTACTTGTTTTTTAGTGTGAACATTGTTTCTTTTGTCTGTTTTTGTTTTTTTGAGACAGGGTCTCCCTATGTAGTGAGACTGACCTAGAACTCACTATGTAGCCCAGGCTGGTCTCGAACTCACAGTGATCCTCCTGCCTCAGCCTCCTGAGTGCTGGGATTACAGCTGTGTGCCACACCTGGCTCTACATTGTTTCTTTTTCATTGTGAATGTTCTGTCCTGCTCCTTTTTACTTTGTCCTTCTCTCTTTCCCTCCTGTTTTCTCAAGTTTGCATTATCTTTCTTTGTCCTGCATACTTGCTTCTATTCTCTTCCTCTTCTTCTATTTCTCTATTTTTCCCCCTAGCTCCTTTTGTTCCCTGAAGGTGAAATTGCCATATTGGGGGCATATTTACTGAATATAATTTTCTGGTTTATCTTACATTTTGTTATGTAACCACAAATCTAGTTCGTATAGTTAAAGGTGGCAAATAGTTAAGACGGTTATTTTCTAGGCTCTGTTTTTTTTTTTTTTTGGTACCAGGGATCGAACTCAGATCCTTGCCCTTGTGAAGCAGTCAGCAGAATCACTGAGCTAAATCCCCGGCCCTCTAGGCTCGTTTGATGCTATTGTTATTAAATAGTTGTTCTAATCAGTTGTTCTTTCTGGTGTGCCAATACTGACATTGCTTGATGGTCATAAACTATCTATAAGCCAGTGCCAATGAACCAGGGTCTAGGCCAAATAGGCAGCAACTTCTCATCCCCAATAAACTGACATCTACTTAAAACTCAAAAACCAGCAGCTACACCTAGCAGCATCTCTAAAAAGTAGTCATTATAAAGAGTTCTATACAGCAAGATCCAGTCTCAAAAAACAAAACAAAAATCAAAGATATTAAACCTGGATTCAGTGGAATATGACTACCTTCCCAATTATAGTACTCAGGAAGGCAGCTGAGGCTAGAGATCATTTGAGCTATAAGGCCAGCCTAGACAACAGGGAAAGAAACCAACTCAAAACAAAAAACAAACAAAAAGGAAATAAAAATCATCTGAGCAGTGGTGCACTCCTGCAGTCCCAGCAGTCAAGAAGCTGAGGCAAGAGAACTGAGTTCAAAGCCAGCCTGAGATACATGACAAGACCATGTCCTTTTTTTTTTTTTTTTTTTTTTTTTTTTAGTACCGGGGATTAAACTTGGGATCTTGAGCTTGCAAAGCAGGCAGTGGATGCACTGAGCTAATTCCCTGGCAACAACACCATGTCTTTAAAAATAAAAATAAAAGGGGCCGGGGATTTATCTCACTGGCACTGCACCTGCCTCATAAGCACAAGGTCCTAAGTTTGATCCCTGGTAGCACTAATTAATAAATAAATAAATAAATAAATAATTTTTAAAAGGCAAGAGTCAAACGCATGCAATTAGGAATGAAAAAGGTGAAATCACAACAGAACTTGCAGAAATATAGAATATCATCAACACCTACTCTGAAAACTTACATTCTAATAAGATGGGAAATACAGAATGAATAGATTCCTAGATACATATGAATTAAGAGCTGAAACAAAAAGATTTTAAAATTCTAAATAGAGCAGTATGGGTCAATGAAATTGAATACGTAATGAAAAACACACCAACAAAGAAAAGCCCAAGTCCTAACAGATTCACTACTGAATTCTACAAAAAATTTAGAGACAAACTAATGCTGCTACTTCTCCCTTTAATGAAAATGAAAGGGAAGCAAAACTCCCAAATTCATTGCTGGAAGCAAGCATTACCCCGATACCAAAGAAGGACACCATTACCTGATACCAGAGAAGGATCCATCCAAAAAAAAAAAGAACTACAGGCCAATTTCCCTAACAAACATAGATGCGAAGCCAGAGATTTAGCTCAGTGGCACCACCACTTCCTTGCAATTGCCAGGTCCTGAATTCGATCACTGGTACCAGGAAAAAAAAATGTCACCAGAACATAAATGCAAAAATCTTCAGTAAGATAGTGGCAAACATAATGCAGGAAATCATCAAGAAGACCACATACCATTACCAAGTAGAATTCATAACAGGGATCAGAGATGGTTCAACATACATACATCAATAAATATAATACATCATACAAACAGAGCCATCGTATAAAAAGCCTTGTGGTCATCTCAATAGATGCAGAAAAAGCATTTGATGGGCTGGGGATTTAGCTCAGTGGTACCGTGCCTGCTTGGCAAGAACAGGTCCTGAGTTCAATTCTCAATACAGGGTAGAGGGAAGCATCTGACAAAGTCTAACAACCACTCATGATAAAACCCTACAGAAAATTGGAATAGATCTCAATCTGATAATTGAAATTATCTCAATCTGTTACTGGAATTATCTCAATCTAATAAAAGCCATTTATGGCAAACCAACAGCCAACATCATAATAAATGGGCAACAATGAAAAGTTTTCACTCTAAAATCAGGAACAAGAGAAGGATGTCCATTATCACTACTCCTATTCAATATAGTTAGCCGGAGCAATTAGTCAAGAAAAAGAAAAGGAATGAGGATAGGAAAGGAAGAAGTTAAATTATTACTGTTTGGAGATGACATGATTCTCTTTTAGAAGATCCCCTAAACTCCACCAACAGACTTCTAGATTTAATAACCAAATCCAGTAGCATTGCTGGATACAAGCTCAACAATGAAAAATCAATAGCATTCCTGTACACAAATAACAAACTCCCTGAGAGAAAAATTAGGGAAGCATACCTTTCACAATGGCATTTTTTAAAAAATGAAATACCTCAGAATTAATCTCATGAAGGAAGTAAAAGACCTCTACATTGGAAAACTACAAAACTCCGAAAAAGGAATATATCAGAATATTGAAAGATATCCCTTGTTCTTTGGTAGGAAGAGCCAATGTAGTGAAAATGGCCATACTTCTAAAATTGTTATACAGATTTAATGGAATCTCAATCAATATAACCAATAGCATATCTTACAGAATTACAGAAAACAATCCTAAAATTCATGTGGAACCAGAAGGGATCTATAATAGCAAAAGCAGTTCTGGGTAACAGAAGTAAGGCAGGAAGCATCACAATCTCTTGAAATTACACTGCAAAGCTATTGTGATAAAAACAAAACAAAAAACAGTACAGTACCAGCAAAAAAATAAACCTGATGATCAATGGAACAGATTAGAATACAGAGAAACAACTCCAAACACACCCAGCCACCTGATCTTTGATAAAGGAACCAAACATCTTCATGGGGAGAAAGACGGCCTTTTTAAAAATTGTGCTAGAAAAATTGGCTTTCACGTGCCAAACCAGACCACTACCTTTCATCATGCACTAAACTAAAATCGAAATGGATCAAAGATCTAAACATTAAAACAGAAACACTAAATCTAAAAGAATACATAGAACTTCTGAAGACAATGGTGTAGGCAAAGACTTTATGAACAAAACCCTGATCACATAGGAACTACCACAAAGAATCGACAACTGGGATCTCATCTTATTAAAAAGATTTTGCACAGCATAAGAAACCACCAACAGAGCTAAGAGACAACCCACTGTGTGGGAAAAAAACTTCTAACACCTGTTCCTCAAACAAAGGACTAATATCTAGAATATATAAAGAACTGAAAAAAACCAGACGTCTCAAATTTAAAGACCCAACCCAAAAATGGGCCTCTGAAATACACTTCTCAGATTAAGTAGAAATGAAAAACACATGAAAAAATGTTCAATATAATTCACCATTTGAGAGTTACAAATTAAAACAATGTTAAGATTCCATATCACTCTAGAAAGAATGACTATTATCAAGAAATCAACCAATAGCAAGTGCTGGAGGGGCTGTGTGGGAAAAGGAACCCTTCTGCACTGTCGGTGGGAGTGTAGACTGGTGCAACCACTGTGGAAATCAGTGTGGAGATCCCTCAAAGAAATAAAACTGAGCTGGGCATGGTGGCGCATGCCTGTAATCCCAGCACTCCAGAGGCTGAGGCAGGAGGATCGCTGTGAGTTTGAGACCAGCCTGGGCTATGTAGTAAGTTCCAGGTCAGTCTCAACTACATAGTGAGACCCGGTCTCAAAAAAACAACAAAAAATAAAACTGGAGGTTCCATTTGACCAGGTATTTCCTCTTTTGGTATCATCTCAAAAGAATCAAAAGCATCATACTACAGAGGTATATGCACAGCCATGTTTATAGTGGCACTCTGTAATAGCTAAATCTTTGAAACAGCCCAAAACGCCCACCTACCAATGAATGGATAAAGATGATGTGAGGTTTTTAATACAATGGAAAACTACTCTGCCATAAAGGATACACTTGAGACATCTATAGCTAAATGGATGCACCCTGAGATCATACTTTAAAGTGAAATAACTTGGACACACATGTTTAAATACATTATTTTTCTGGTGTGAGAAACTGAAAGTATAAAAAAGGACCAAAACGCATAATAGACATTGGGAAATGGAAAGGAAATGTTCAAATGGGAAAGTAACAAAGGAAAGGAAGGGACAAGAAAAAAAAGAATAGAAGGAAAATGGAGACAAAGTTTTTGTAAATAAGGAGGGGAAGAGGGGATAAAGGGAGGGGAGGAGAATGGGAAAAAAAGAAGCAAGATATATCATGCAGAGGTCCAGATTCCGTATGATGAGTGTTATCATTATGTATAGCTAAAATTACCAATAAAATCTTAAACACACACACACAAGAGAAGGTAGCTCTCATGTACTGCTGGTGGGAAGGCAAATAGTACAGCTATTATGGAAAACAGTATGGAGAATTTTTAAAAACCTGGAAAGAGAACTATCATATAATCCAGCAATCCCACCTACTAGGTCCATATCCTAAGAAAATGAAATAAATAATGTCAAAAGAGATAGCAGCACTCATGTATTTACTGAAGCACTATTCACAATTGCCAAGATACAGAATCAATCTAGATTTCCAACACAGATGAATGGATACAAAAAATATGGTGTAAATATACAATAGGATACTACCCATCCCTCAAAGAATACAATTCTGTAACATAGGTGGAACTGGATGACATAAGTGAAATAAGCCAGATGCATAAAAACAAACTATATGTTCTTATTTATAGATAGAAGCTAAAATGTTGATCTTGGGGAAAGGAGAAAGGGTCTTGCTAAGTTTCCCAGGCTAGGCCCAAATTTTTGTTCCTCCAAACTCAATCTCCTGTGTAGCCGGAGCTACAGGCATGTGCCTGCCACCACTCCTAGCTAAACTTACACATTCTTAACATATATCTTCTGCATCATTTATACTTCACATAAGGCTTCTGTGGACAAATACTGCTACTGAATCAGGTCTTTGTTGAGGTAGTGCTAATTACCAAAAAAATTGGAAAAGCCTATAAAGAATAGAAAATAACTATGAAGTAAATACTTTGTGTACAATACTGAATATTGAACCTAGGGCCTCTGCATTAAGCTACATTCCCAGTCTTTTATATTTTATTTTTTTTTGAGGTGGAGGCTCACTAAGTCATCCAGACTAGGTTCCAACTTGGGATCCTCCCACTTCAGCCTCTCGGAGTGCTGGGATTACAGGCAGGCACCACTACACCCAGCAATAAGTGAATACATTTTAACCTCCCAAGAATAGATAAAAGAATTAATAGTAGGGTTTGATGCTAGTTGACTATTACCTGTTCTACAGAACACTCAAATATAAACTCAACTCATGTGGTAGACTAAGCTGCTAGCCTGTCCTAAGTAAAAACCAAACAGCCTCCATGTTGACCCGCTGATCACCCCACCACCACAGTTGTGTCGTTACCCATGACAACAGGTTTGCAGACAAGTGACCTGATCCGTTACATAGTAACATTGTGTTATACTATTGTTACATTCTCCTCCCAAAGTTTATGGTTAACTATTTCCTCTTACAATTTTGCGGTTTTTGCCTTTACAAACTGCCTGTATCTGCAAATAAATGAGACCTCGACAACTCTTTGCTTGGTCTCCTTCTTTCCGCGCCCCTCTTGTCTCATTTCCAGGTACTTCCCCTTCTCGAGCTCTGCCAATTACTGACCCCGCGGGCCGGGGCAAACTCAGAGAAAGAAAATAACTTAAAATGTACAGGTACTTCCTTCTCGAGCTCTGCCAATTACTGACCCCGCGGGCCGGGGCAAACTCAGAGAAAGAAAATAACTTAAAATGTGAAGAGAAGGAAAATATTCCCAATTAAAATGAAATGAAGACATTATGTCTGAACAGAAAAGGCCAAGGAAATCTGCAACATAGAGATATGAATAGGAGTGAAATAAAGTCAGAACACAGAAAAGCCTAGAAGTGCACGGATGGATCTACTATAGATTTTCAATGAGTCAATGGACCTAAAAAAAACTTTGTTTGGCTTAACTTTAGGGGAAGCAAACTTATCAGTAATGATGTCACACTGACAGTACTTAAAATCAACACAAGTAGCAAGGTTACCAGTTTAGACAAGCTAAATTTTACAGCTTTATGCATAGAAAAAGCCAAGTCTTATGAATAAGGTCCACAGAGTCCAGTAGTCGATTTTCAAAGCAAGTAAATATTCAAACTCTTACCTTCAAGGATGTCAGTTCATCTGCCCACATTTCTATCATAGGAACAAGATGTTCAAATCCACAGTCTTGAACAAAATCTTTGTTAAAATGTTGGGCTCCTTCTTTGCTCTGTTTATAAAGTATTACTGGAGCTCTTGAATTGTGAATAATTGAATTGATGCTACATAGCACCTTTAAAAAATATAGTATTTTTAGTCAAAATATTTCTCTTAGTCCTGTAAAGCGATATATGTTAAAGGAGTGCTTTATATATGGATATAACATGATTTTCAGAGCTAAGCTATTAAGAAGCTCTATTACATGCTCCTGCTGGCTTGTACCACTGTGTTTCAAAGCTGCCTGGCAGCAAGACATGTGAATTATGATTTCATTGTGAATGTGTTAATGAGAATGACACTTGTAATCTGTTGGTAATATAGTAGTTTAACATAATTAAATATGTAAGTTCTAATAAGAACTAAAAACTTCACAGAAAAACTAAAATGAATTTTAAAACTAATTAGACATAATAAACAGTCATGAATGACCTATTGTAATCCACATGGAGAACAGTAATTCCCCAGATATCCTTAACTACATTCTCCACATTTCCTTATTTCTGTTCCTCATATTTAAGCTAAATAAGGATATTAGAAAGGGCTTTTCCATTGTTCATAACTTCAGTTAAGTTCAACATGAAGACAGTTACTAATAAAGTCCTACACATTCTAAAGAGAAGTCCTGGATACGTCATGTAGGTCTGGATAAGAGGTGATCAAACTGACCGTAAATGTTGATTAGCCCATCCAAGAAAATGTTACATATTCATTAGACAGGTTCACCAAGAAAAGTGTCTTTAAAATAAACAGAACTAATGGAAAATACTGTTATTGTTCTTAACATACAAAGCTATAACAAACAGTTCTTCTGGGAATTTGACTTCAGACATTTACAGGCAATTTTTTGTTCTTAATTTAGTGCAAGAGGATATATTTCAATATTTTGCTTATATTTAAATTGATCTATGAATACCATTTTAACTCAAAAATTCTCCCACGCATTATTAACAAGAGCAAGAATATAGAGTAGTACCCTCTAGTCCTGCCATGCCAAAGGTTAAGAAGGTGGCAGGTGAACTCAAAGAGAACAGGGAAGTTTCAGTAGATCACAGGGGAATCTTAATGAGAGAAGCAGCAAACCAAGTGTATTACTTGCATGTTTAGCAGTATGAATATTAACTTTGTTTTAGATTGTTGGCAAAGATGATCACAATTATTTCTTGTCCTTATATTCTTGCATATTTGCACTATGACACTACTTGAGTCTGGACTGGTCTTGGGCCTTGCTTGACCCCCAGAATGTATTAGAAAGAATGTTATGCCAGTTAAAAGCCCAATTCTCACAAGAGATTTTAATCATTTTTGCTTTTCATCTCAGCACTGTGTTGCTGCTATATGGCAAAGCCCAGATAGGACTGGTAGATAATGAGACACATGCACCAGTCACCTCCATTCCTCTGAGACAATATTCATTGAACTCCCAGAAAAGGGGCCACTGTACCGACTTGTATTTCACAGCAGATGCAGAGCCAACATCAACAGAACTACCCAGTTGTTGAAGCACAATAATATTAAAGGGTCACAATAAGAAAAGCCTGCCATTTTACATTGTGATGGGGTAAGAATACATTCTGGCCAATTGGACAATCTGGTAGACAGTTAAGCTTTACTTTCAAAAGAAATAACTGCCTATGGCTAAAGGACCTGGGAGAGGTAAGGAATTCCAAAGAAGCCAACTGGAAAATATACTGCTCACAAAATGAATATACTGCCACAGTCCCTAGCTAGTGGAGAGGAATTAACACATACATGTGTGCACACACATGCACGTGCACACACACACACACAGACAAGCATCCTATGAAAGAGAAACAGAGGCAGTACTTGTACATTAGCTGCACACAAGGCACTAGTGCTGGAATACACAAGCACCAGTAAACAAAGATTCTATTCTCTCTATTCTCACTCACCACCTGCCCTTTACCGCCAATCCTGGAAGAGCCAAATGTAGCAGAGCACAAGGAAAGATGATGGAATAAAGAGAATAAACAGATCATATTCCTTGCCACGTTGCTTGTCTTTAGAAGACAGATCAGGCATGAGACAGGGTATCAAGTTAAATAAACTTTGAACTGGATGAGGAATGAAGTTTTTTTGGTTTTTGGAGACAGGGTCACACTATGTAGTTGAGACTGACCTGGAACTCACTATGTAGCCCAGGCTGGTCTCGAACTCACAGCGATCCTCCTGCCTCAGCCTCCCGAGTGCTGGGATTGCAGGCATGCGCCACCACACCTGGCTGAGGAATGAAGTTTTAATTGAGACCTGAATGGACATTTTTCTCTCAACTTTTCACTATAAAAACTTTCAAACAAATATTAAAGGGCATGTATGTTAAACACTTTTTCAGAGTTCTTCAGAGATACAAAAGAAAATATATCTATGTGGGTATAGCATCTAATCATTTGTAGACCAAAATATACATAGTTCATTACATATGGGTGTGTGTGTGTATAACATATGTGTACACACACACACACACACACACACACAGATTCATTATAAGGAATCAGTTCACATAATTACAGAGGCTGATAAGTCGCAAGATTCGTAGTCATAAGTAGAGATCCAGGATCACTGATGTATAGTTGCATGACTAATACCTTTGAAGTTTAATGTTTCAGTTCAAGTCCAAAGGAGGGGAAAAAAATGATGGCAAAGGCAGCCAGAAAAGAAGAACTCCTTCTGACAGAGAGATAACTAAAATAAACAGTTTTCAGAAAGGTGCCTAGAACCCATTCACAATAGCAATAAAAGCTATTAAATACCTGCAAAATGAATCTAACAAGAAATATATGAGAACTAAATTTAAATATGTTAAACTTTACTGAAGACTACAAAAGGAGACCCAAAATAAATTACACATTTCTGAATGGGATGATTCAAAACTGTAAAGGTAGCATTTCTCCAAATATTAATCTATAAAGTCAATCCAATGAGATTTTTTAATTTGAAAATTGTTCATCCAGAAGAATACATATTATATTTAAAAGATTGTGGATTAATTCTAAATTTAAAAGCTTAAGTAGGCCAAATAAAATATGAGTACAGGTCTATTTCAGTCAAATTACCAGACTCAATTTCTCATGTAGTCAATGAATAATCTATAAACCAGTAATGTTGGATTCCTTGCATGGCATCACATAGAAAATAAAATTTCAGGGGTAGGGGATTTGGCTCAGTGGTTCTGCCATCTGCCTCGCAAGCCCAAGGGCCCAAGTTCAATCCCCGGTACCAAAAAAAAAAAAAAAAAAAAAAAAAAAAGAAAAGAAAAGAAAAAAATTTCATATGGAGTAAATATTTAAACAAAAGCAAAACTATAAAAGGTCGCTAAAACAGATTTACTTTGCAAATAGCAACAACAAAAACAAAAGGAAAATGGTTCTAGGGAGAGCATTATCTTTTAAAACCCTTAAAGACTTTTTCTTGCCATTATTTGCTAGACAATATAACAATGCTATTTGCATAGCATTTATGTTACATTAGGTATATGTAATGTAGAGCTGCGATTTTATGTATATTCATTTGAGCACCTGCAGATATTGGTATCCATATACACTGCGGAACCAATCTCCCACATACACTAAAGGATAACTATACAAGTATTCCTTACCAAGTGATAATTAATCACATAGCAACCCAAACCAAGTCCATTACAAACACCACTGTTTTTGTCAGCTATTCAATACCTGAAAGTATCTCTGGTCAACTAGAACTTGTTGATGGCTTTCTTTGCTGGATTCATCTTTTTTCTCTGTATCCTCAGCTTTTGTATGACTGATAAGCTCCTGTAATCTAAAGGAGAAAAAAAAAATTAAAATATACAAAATGCTTTCCTAGATACTAGATTAAGATGACAGACCATCAATGATCCAACTAGCCTCTAAAAATCTTCTGGTATTTTGTATGTGTATGTGCACATATGCATAAAGTTAAAAAAATTTAAGTAATAATGCTTATGGAAAGCAATAAGGTCCTCCAAAAAGACTACAAATTAGAAGGGATCCCTGAAAACTGAAGAAAAAAAAAATTCTAATCACCCTCTACCACCAATGAAAAGCAGCATGGTGAAAAAGTACAACCAAAGATGAAAACAATTTCCATCCCCAGGTGCTTCAAGCTTAGAGGCTGCAGGTAAAGCAGAACAATCAGCATGAGCAGGACAACTGATTTGAGTACTGAAATAGGAACACCTAGACAGTCCATCTAACTTTCCTCCTGGGGTATCTATTACAATGTGACTTGGATACTACATTCTCTTTGCATATGAATTAATTGGTACTTTAGAAACCTGTGTTATGACAGGCCCAGTGGTGGTGGACCTATGGCACGTTACTGTTTTTCTTTTAAGACAAAAGATGTTAATATATGAGGTTTTTTTCTCTCTCAATTAAAACCTCAGTATTCATATTTAATTTCAGTGTTGGCACTTTGTGATAAGTGAGTGGGCTTTGGGTTGCAGTACGGGTACTTGTCTCTAAAGTGTGCCATCACTGGACTAGTCTACATTCATAAATGTGCTATGTTTTGTAGTTCCCAGGGCAGTCCAACAGGCCTGCAGAACATACAAGCTCTCTTGGAGTAGACATTCATTCTATACAGCCAAGGGCAATGGCTATTTCTTTGTAGATTTCAAGAAATTGAGAAAACTTCACATCTAATTAAAAAAGTTAGAAACATCATACCATAGTGATATGCAGTATATGTTTACAGCAGCACAATTTATAATAGCTGAGTCTTGGAAACAGCCCATATAATCCATCAAAAGATGAATGATAAAGAAAATGTGGTATTTATATACAATGGAGTACTCCTCTGCCATAAAGGATAAAGTTGAGTCATTTGTAGGAAAACTGATGCACCCTGAGACTATAATTTTAAGTGAAATAAATCAGACACATAAGTTTAAATATTGCATTTTTTGGGGGTGTGAGAAACTCAAAGGGTAGAAAAGGAGCATAATGGAAGATAGATACTGGGAAGTAGGAAGAATATGTTCAAATGATAAGGGGTACAAAGGAAGGGGAGAAGGGAAGGAGAGAAAAGGAAAGAAGGGAAGGGGAAAAAAATGGAAGGAAAGGGGGAGGGGAAGAATGGTTGGAGGGGCAGGAAATGGGAAAAAAGAATGATTGAGATAGATTATGTAGTTATAAACTCTATGATGAACGTGATCCATATTTATGACACGTATGTATTAATAAAAAATAAAGTTAAAAACAAAATAAGCTGTGCTATAATAAAGCCATCTCTATAAGCTTCTGTCTATAGAAACCTTACAGCTTTTAACTGTTCTACTGAAGCCTTTTCTCGACCCCATGGTAGACAGAGATCCCTGCTGGACATGAAGAACAAGTTGAAAAGTGTGCTGCCAGTTTTGTTTTTAAAAATCACATTGAACCATACTAGTATAGAAACAAAAAGGTGCATCAGTGTGAACCTCTCAAAGTTGTATTTTTCCCAGCTCTATGCCAAAATCCTGTGCTATCTTTAGAAATAAAATCAAACTGCTCAACAGCTAAGAATATGTGTGTTAGGTGATTCAAATTTTACCACTCTGAGTCTACCCATCAGTGATTATGAAAATTCTATGATGACAGATTTCAGAGTTACAAATAAGTTTCAGTAAGGAGAAAAATAGATGAATACTGACTGAATACTGAGCATTGACTGACTGTATATCTCTATACAGTGGGTACATGTATGTGTTTGTATATATTCACTAATATACTGGCGTGGAGTCAATAGGTTTCTCTTCCTCATTTTTTATCATCCCACATCCAGCTGCTTCTCTCCTAATTTGTTAATTTCAGTTAACAGCACCAACAACTACTTAGTTATTCAGTTGTAAAACTTAGGAGACTTTTGTTTCCTCCCCACTTCCTCAATCCCTACAGCCAACCCATCACAAAGTACTATCAGTTCTACCTCTAATATTACTCCAATTCCAAACACTTCCAGGCACCTCCACCATTGCCACTACTGACTTTATCACACCCACCTCTGTCCAAATTCATACAATAGCTTCTTCCCACTGTCTTACGTTTAGTAGCTATATTGTTTTATTTATTCTTTTATTATCCTTTTCTCTTTGTGACATCTCCATAAGGGGGGGGCCTTTTCTATCTGGTTTACCACTGCAACACTGGTCTAGAATGCCAAGCAGATAGTAGGACACACATATGCATCCAAAATATCAAGCAGTAATGGAAAGGTAAAAATCATGCATCCTTTCCAAACCCACTTCTTTCATTTTTCCTGCCCAACTTTATTAATTCAACTAATTCCTGTGTGCTCATATTTGCCTTTCACTGTGATATACGCTGCCACAGGAAGGAGCAAACACAGCTCTCAATGAAAAATAAATCAATATATGCTGATACACAGACTTAATTTAATGCACACATTAACTCAAGAGTTTTCAAAATATTTCATCCTAATGTCCTCAAATTATTGAAGTCTGATTCCCTTGAATCAAAGAGTAAACATACTTAATCTTTAGGAAATACTATTACTATTAGAGATCAACTTTTTGAAACACCTTTGAGTGCTTGCTTTTCGAAGCCAGGGAGCATAGAAGTGGTGGATAAGAATGGCTTACAGTACACCTTCCGGTACTTTTAAAGTGACAAGGTTTACCTGAAAATTTTCAGATCATGATTGTCAACAAGAAAAACTGGGAGGGCTGGGGATTTAGTTCAGTGGTACTGCACCTGCCTCACAAGTGCAATGTACTGAGTTCCATTCCCTGGTACCAAAACAAACAAACAAACTGGGAATTTGTCATCTGCAATTTCATTGATTCTCTTGCAATTCTTTCATTACTTCCAAAGAATTTCCTATTTAAAATATTTCCCCCTATAACATCAGCCAACTACCTTTTCCTTCTTTGTATTTAAGATGAACAAACAGCCAAATCCAATACAGTGGTGATTACTTTTAAACTGTGGAACCAGAAATGCCCCCTTTTAATGTCATTTCCCCCACTAGACTGGTAATTCCAAGCCAAGGCTACTATGAGGTAGCATGAAGTAAGCTGTCAGGTAAGTAAAACCAAACAATAAAACACAAAACCCTAGTAAAAGCTCTAACTTTAGTAAAATAGAATTACTTAATGTTTTTCTTGAGGGCTTTCTCCAGTTTCTTCACTTGTTGTTTATAAAGTCTTAATTCATGTTGTGTGGGCCTGTAGAAAATAAATGTTGAATGCATTCAATTTATTGAATAAAACTATAAACGTACTTGCTACTTGACACAAGTAAAAATATCTCTTGACTGTTAATGAGGTATTACTGGCCACTTGAATTTCTTCTTTTGCATAATTTATTATTCAACCTTTTCCTCTTTGTTGTTGTTAATTTAGCACTTGATTTTACAGTAAAATGTTTCAAATATACAGATAATAATACAGTATATTATAACAAATTCTGGTATATCTACCACCTAGCCTTATAAAATTTGAATATTCATAGACTTGTTTCAAATCTTTAACTAAGCCATATATGTATTTAAGGGCCAGGGATGTAGCTCAGGGGTGCTGCACCTACCTGGCAAGTGCAAGGTCCTGAGTTCAATCCCCAGTACCAAAAAAATAAAACAAAACAAAATACCCCACACAACACATATATATACTTAAAACTTTGTGTCCCTCAGTGTTATTCCTCTCCTTTCCAGGTAACCACTATACTGAATTAATTCATTATTCCTAAACAAGTTAATTTTTACTATGTATTTATATAATCAAAAACTTACATTTATTTTAGAGCAAGCCTTCAGACTTTATATAAATGGTTTAGATTCTAAAGGTTAATGGCCCTTTTCACTTATGGGGTTGAGAACACAGCTCAGTAGCATAGCACTTGCCTGGTACACACAAGGCCCTGGGTTTAATCCCCAGCCTGGCTAAAAACAAAGTATAAACTTAATGAGAAGAGAGGATTTATTTCAGTCATAGTTTTATTCTAAAGCTTGGGACAGTAGCTAGCTTATAATAGGCATTCAAAAAGTATCGAATGAATGCAAAGTCTTGATAATGTTCCTCCATTACTAGTCACTGTCAACACGTCCCTACTGTACCTTTTGTACCTATTCTACATAGAGCCCTCTTTGTTATAAAAATTACTTACTTTTCTTGTCCCTCCACAACACAGAAATAAGAAATTACAAGACATCCTAAAGTAGTTTGGTAATGACAAACCCATGTGTATAATATTGAATCTAATCAAGTGTGGTGGTGCACGCCTATAATCCCAGCCCTTGGGAAGCTGAGCCAAGAGGACTGCTGGGACTTCAAGGCCAGCATGGGCTACATAGTGAGTTCAAGGTCGGCCTGAACTATGTAGCAAGACCCTGTTTCAAAAAAAAAAGTCGAATCTAATACAGTAAGTAATAATATATTGTTTATTTCAAAATAAGATAGAGTAAACTTCAAATGTTTTCACCACAAAAAAACGTAAATATTTAAGGTGATGGATATGTTAATTCATTTAATTATTGTACACTGCATTCATAAATCACATTGCTTTGTACCCCATAACATACACAATTATAATTTGTCAAGTTACAGATTTTAAATTTTAAATTTTAAAAATTATGCTGAGTGGGCTGGGGATTTAGCTCAGTGATTCCAGCACCTGCCTTGCAAGTGCAAGGACTGGAGTTCGATCCCTGGTACCAAAAAAAAAAAAAAAAGCTGAAAGAAAACAAAAAAGAAATGCTCTATGCTTCCATTTATAAAAAGTCTAAAAAATATAAACTGATTTAAAACTAATATAGAGCTGGGATTTAGCTCAGTGGTTCCGCTGCTTGCCTAGCAAATGCAAGGTCCCGAGTTCGATCCCCAGTACCTAAATAAATAAATAAATAAAAACTAATGTAAAAATGACAGAAAACTGATTAGGAAGAAGAGATTACAAAAGGGACAAGAGAAGACTTTTAAGATGATTATCTTGATTATTTCACAGATTTATATCAAAACTTTTAAATTGTGTACTTAAATGTATACAATGCACTGTGTATCAATTATACCTTAATAGAACAAATTTTTAAAAAACTAAATTTACTTGAAATTCTAGCCAATTTTATCTTCTTCAACGTGGATCCCTATTTTCTTATTTCCCTTGTCCACCTATAGGTTCTTATTCCATCATTCACCACAAGAGACACATGACTAAAATGAATATGAGTTTGAAGTGCTCAAGGCTAGTTTCAGAGTAAAAAGGCTAGAATGGTTCATTTAACATTTAAAATTCCACCATATATATACTTTTTAGACAATAAAACATTACTTGAAATTTTCTCACCTGCTTTCTAAATCTTTTTGGAGGTTCAGCTTTTCACTTAAAAGTGCATCAATCTTGGAGTTTGATTCCTTGAGTTGATTCTGTAATGACTGGAACCCATTACACAGAAAAATAATTAAGTTTTCTAGGTAATTATTTTACTTCAGAAAAAAGATTTAGTAGTTAGGTCTCCATACCAGTAGAAGGCCTTTATAAGTTGGTGAGCCATTCAGATCTCTGCCATCTTTTTCTTCTTCTGATTGACTTTCATTTTTTTTATATTGCCTATTAAAGACACATGCAATGTACTTCTCATTAAAAATCTACCTCTAAAGAAACATATCTAATAAAAATTAAACCAATCTGTTTAACAAACATGAATTATGCAAAAATAACAATTAATCCAAACTTCCTCAGTCTCAGAATACTAGAACACATTTCTACCTACTACTATTTTTTTTCCCAGTACCAGGGATCAAACTCAGCACCTTGCTCTTGCAACACAAGTGCGGTGCCACTGAGCTAAATCCCTGACACCTCTACCTACTATTATATCACCTGTTCACTAACTCTACTTAGACTGTATGAGGACCAGAACTCTTGTTTACCCATATGTCACTGCCTAGAAGAATATGGGATATATGAAGGGGTGAAAAAAACACCTGTTGAATGAATAAACAAACATGGTAACACCTTGATGGTATTTTACTGAACTGCTAGGCACAAACCATTAGCTTACTCAAACTGATACACAAAACTAACCATCACAGTCTGAGAAATAAAAATGAAGAATTTCATGGTTTAATAAGTTGTACACATTTATGCTCACAGAGTCAGGAAATAATGGATATGAGTTAAACAGGTTAGGGGGAAAACTATACAAATTGCAAAGCTGTGTACCATCTAAAGGCGGCAGCCAGATAGGAAGATGAGTCTACTGTCCCTAGACTAATTTGACTTCTCAAGGGAAGCCGGAAGATTTGATTTATAAATGAAATCAAGTTAATGTCTATAATTAACTCAGTGTTCTAGAAAATATTACATAGTCTGAAATGAATACCAGTTTTAACTTATGGTATATGTCTTTCATAAATTTTAATCTAGATTCGGGTATTAGCAAGCTTTTTCTGTAAAGGGTTGGGCTGTAACTATTTTGGATCATAATGACTTCTGTTGTAGCATAGAATCAGCCATACATAGTACATAAATGAATTGGCATAACTGTATTTCAGTAAAACTAGATATAAAAACCCAGAAATTCCTGGTTACACAGGACATGTGGGCAGGAGTTTGCTGACCTCTAATCTAGGTGATAGAGAGAAAGTGTGGGGATTTTAATAAGAATAGAGAAGATTTAACATAACCATCATGGAATATTTATGTAGAATATGGTATGAGATGCATCTCTGGAGTTCTGGAAACCAGGTTTTCTATCTAAGATGATGAAAGGATTTAGGCTATTGCAGTGGTGATAATGAGTTTTGTTGAACTAAATTTATAGCAAAAAACTGGGGCTGAAAAGTGTAAGACTCAGGGGAGAGGAATCACTCTAGCTTTTTTTTTTTTTTTTAAGAAAGCATCTCATTATGTAGTTCAGACTGGCCTTGAACTCACTATGTAGCCCAGGCTGGATCTGAACTTGCCATGATCCTCCTGCCTCAGCCTCCCAAGTGCTCAGATTACAGGCAGGCGTCACCATGCCCAGCTCCCTCTTTCACTTAAGATTGGAGTGCAGCAGCCTATGCAGTCTTTCTTCCCAACAGAATCTCCTGAGCCTGGTCTTTACAGCTTTCTGGTCTTATGAGCTCTGACCAGAATCTCCCATATTGTACAACCTAAGGTGTTCCAGCTCTACTTTTTCAAATGGCATCTCTGAACCTGTCCAAATTCTTCGCACAAGCCAGTGCCAAAAGCTAGTAAACCACATGGTCAGGTATAGTTACAGCAACAACTCCACTTCCCTGGTACCAAATTCTGCATTAGTTTTTCTCATTGCTAAGACAAAATACGTGACACCCAAAGTTAAAAGAGGAATCGGTTTATTTAGCTAACAGTTTGCAGAGCTTTCAGTCCATAATCAGCTGGCTGCAAGGCAGGGGGGCATATGGGGGAGGGGGATGAGTACATAGCAGCAAAATATAGCAAAAGCAAACAGGGGACCTTAATAGCATCTTTCTGCCCCCTTTTCTCTTTCTAGGCACTTAGGGAAGGTAGCACTCACGCCTTTAATCCGAGTGTCCTTGATCCTAGCACTGCACCATGAATCAGTTCAGGTACCACACATTCTAGATCCAGCCACCTCTGAAAAAGCCCCATCCACCAAAAGGCTTGGGGGGGGCTCTAAACACAGGCCATAACACCAAGTCACTCCATCCAAAACTGATCTCCTTCCTGTTCTAAACCCCTATAGTAGTCTGTACAAGTTTTTGTAAACTATATGACACTGTATTAGTGTTTAAATCTTATTTTTCTTATTAATGTTTACATTTTACCTCTCTTATTGGACTGGAAACTGACAGGAGGTAACTATTCATACCTTTGTGTATAGATTTTTCTAATTTTAGATTCATAGTAGTCAATCAGGCACAGCAACCTAAAAAATAGAAGAGACACTGAATTATTAATATAGTTATTCTATCATCACTATTCTGTCTGCCCAATTTCAAATTATAGTGATAAAAGTACAGATTATCTGGCAGACTTTAACACATTCCTGCCAGCCTGAAGCACTGGTGGTACATGCATGTCGGTCCCACTGGGCAGTCTGACCACCAATGGCACATGCATGACTACCACCCAATCGGGAACGTCCCATGCCTCTTACAGTTATACATGTACCACTTGTGGTTCAGAACTGCTCAGAAGCAAAACACATGAATTATTAGCCCTGAGATGAATATTTCCTTTTTTCTGCAGTGATAATCCTGCCTCAGTCTCCTGACTGCTGATATCACAGCAATAAGCCACCAGATCTGGCACAGGCTTTTAAAATTTTAAATGATTTCACAAATTTTTCCTCTAACTGAAAAACTGTCCCTCATTTCCTATTAAAATTCTACAGTTCCTAATAGTCTAACTGAAGTTTCTTTCTTCATGAAGCCTATCTGGTGCTGGGTTCAATCCTTGGTAAAAGTGTACAACCTCTGGCCCATATAACAAATTCATAACTGAATTAACCTGACTTCACGTGATATGGCAAATTCTCTCAGTATTTCTCATCTCACTTACTCATATCTGCTATTTTTGGCTTTTTTTCATTCCCCTCTGTTACTAGCCTCTTCCTTCCACTGCAATTCTCTGCCTCTCTCCTTTTTTGTTCTTTACTACCCTTTTTCCTTTCCTTCTTGCCTTTTTGCTTTTTGTTATGAGTAATTATGAGCTGTTTTTTCTTGGTTTATCTTCACAAGAATGAAACTGTATACATGTATATTATCTCTCAGATAATCATCCAGACCACCTATAGCTTTAACTTTTTACTTATATCTGATCTCATTTATTTTTATACTACAACAGAAACACCCAATCAGTATACACCTAAGACTGGTCAAAATGCAATCAGTTATATGTTAACTGAAAAACACAAAGTGCTAGCTTTTATACAAGAAGGGGGAATATGAACGTAATATTCATACTGCTTGTATTGCTAAAAACAACACTAAACACTTAAAATTAATTACCTGCAAGGGTTAGACTAGGGTTATATAAAAGGGAAGAAATGAAAACAACTTCTCTGAATATATAGCTTTAGCTTTGAAATTGTGTAAATGCTTTAGGTATTCAAAATAAAGAAATTGTAAAAGGCATTCTCAGTAACTGAAAATACAATGAAACAAATATAACTGCTTATTAATTTGGGACACAAACACAGAGAAAAGTATTGCAAGGTATTTTGGATAATCTTATTTTGAACATATCCATAGTGGGATACATTACTAATATCAAAGAGAATTGCAAAGAATGTTGTTTCATTCAATAGGCTTATTAGCAAATCTATTATTATTTTGAAAATTTTTACTTATTTTAGGATAAAACAAACAAATAGTTTTAATTTTGTTCTTAGGAATAATGATTTTCTGTATAAAAGGACAGTTCCAGGGTCAGAGTTACAGCTCAGTGGTCAAGAGCACGTGTAGCACGTGCAAGGCCTTGGTTTCCATCCCTAACATCACAAAAAATAATAAAAATGTTACAATTTTAAGAATTACAAAGTAAAATCAAGAGTGTCTAAATTAAAATACTATTAACATTCATGTTATATGGAGAGAAAAAAATCTATAATGATTTGGCTAAAATTTTCCCCCAATATATATAATTTGTAGTTCTACTGAAAAGTCCAAATGTCACTGACAACATCAATATTAAACTCAACTCTCATAGAGTGGTTTCTATATACCATTCCTTAATAAAAGGAATCAGTTCTTTTGAGAAATATCTGACAACTATTAGTTAACTAGGAATTTATGGTGCTCAAAAAATTGGATATCTACATGAGGAGTGAAACTAGACCCCTATATAGCACCAGTTACAAAAATCACTCCATATTAAATGCAAATTTACAGCTATAATGGAAAACAGTATGAAAGTTCCTCAGAATTAAAAGCAAAACTGTTTGACCCAACAGACTTGGAAACAACTAAGTCTCCAGAAATTAATGAATGTACAACTTTTATGTTACGTACCAGTTAAAAGTTAATTTTAAAAACAGCTCTCAAAAATTGAGAATTTAATTTAAATGTTTAGTGTTATTTTTAATAAATATCTATCTAATTTTATTCCTTAAAAGTTCTAGGGCAAAAAAAAAACAAACAAAAAACCGTACAGGATAAGGAAAAACAAAAGCAGAAGAGAGGGAGAATCCTCTGGTTGATAAGAAACAACCACTCTCAAGAAAAACTCAGTTTTTAAAAAACTGGATCTAGCTATATTTTGTTATATGGTAAACATTACTGTCTATCCAAGACGGTGTGAGGAACCCTTTTGCAGAGATAGGCAAACACTCTGTTTTGAGTGATAATTCGTTCTTCTTCCTCTTTTGTTAATCGACAGATATCCTTTTGCAAAGAAGCAATAGTCTGTTGCTGCTCCATTTGTTTTTTCTTGTAATGCTGGCATTTTGTCTGCAATAAAAATTTTAAAAACATAATTATGATATGTACATTCAGAATCTGCTGTCCTAATACTTACACAAGGCATCTTCAGTTTCTACTGAGCTATTACTCAAGAATCACAGAAACTATAGCTTATAATTGAGTACATAGCATTATAATTGAGTTCTTAATAAGGAATTTAAGAATATCAATGAAACTGACATAATTTTATGTTTAGATTGGAAACAATAATCAGGCAGGGAACAATATTAAGAATGTTCAAGAGAATCAGCAATCAAAGTTAAGGTTCTTAAGTGATCAATGATAATGTAGGATTGCAAATAGTGTGGTCATCTTGGGCATTCAGGAAATGTGGAAGGCTGTAGACTCATAATTAAATCCATAATCAGGAAGTTATCACTGAGAGATAATCAGTATATACCCTAAGATTTATTCAAAGGAATCTCAGAGATTCTCTTCCCTTATTTTAAGCAAGCTACTACTAGCCTGGTTTTCCCTTATTCTATAGTTTCTATCCCTTAGTTTCAAAGCTAATTAGCAAAAGCTGGTCACTCTTATTAATACACTTGCATAAAGATCAATGATAAGATTTTTCCTATACTGCCTGCACATTACACACATATATTATTTTCAAAAAAGGACACCCATATTTAAGCACATGTTCATCTGTTGATTGTATCAAGTTTGTTGAGATTTAGTAATTTTCAAACAGAAAAAACTCTCAGCTGCTGGTACCATCACATCTTCTAGTAAGCATAGGTTACATGAAGAGTTGATCCTCTACCACTGCACTCCCTGGATGTCAGGCAAGGCCTCTGCAGCCAGGAGCTGAGGGTGCCAGCACCTGCTTGTATAAGTTAGTCATGAAACTAGAACCACTGAGTTTTGCAAAGGTGCACATAAGAGCAGCATACAAAAATCAACTGTTTCTTAATTCATTCTATGATGCCAACAATACACTAATACCAAAGCCAGAGGCTTTATAAAAAGATAATTATATATCAATATCTATTAGAAATATTGATGCAAAGATCCTCAGCAAAACACTGGCAAACCAAATTTAACAGTGTATGAAAAGGATTATACACTAGGTACAAAAGAAATTTACTCATGGAATGCTAGAATGATTTAACATAGGGGGAAAAAAACCCACTACATTAACAGAATGAAGGAAAAACCAGATGACCTTAATGTTCAGGCATCTGCAAATACTGTTGGGCAAGAGATAGCCCTGACAGCTAACTTCACTTCTTTGAGTTTACCTTTTCCCCCCAAACCATGGAATATGCAAGGGCACCTTACTCCAAAGAGGACTTTATTTCCTTCTATCACGTGGTATACTGGAATTATCATTTCTCTAACTCCTTTATCTAAACTCTTGACTTGAGGTTCTCTTCTTCCACACAGGATATAATCAGGTTCTGACTCAGCTTAATCACTGGAATAAGATGCCTTCACCTTAAGTTTCAAATAGTTCCCATGAATACTTTTTTTGAAATACTATGCTTTATAATAGAAACCAGGAACATAAAGAAAATATCACAAACTACGACCTGAACAAATAAGACACAATAGATCAAACCTACAAAGAACTTCTTATATTAGAACACATTGACAACATAAACAACTATGCTACTAGGCTTAAACAGTTCCTGTTCTGTAAATGAGAGACCAGGTAATTCAGACCAAATCTCCTACTTAGAAACACTTCAGGGCCAGGGATTTAGCTCAGTGGTTCGGTGGCCTGCCTTGCAAGCGCAAGGACCCGAGTTCAATCCCCGGTACCAAAAAAAAAAAAAAAACAAACCAAAACACTTCAAAAAGATGATCAAAATGTATTATAAAAATCTGTTTGAAAGTATTAACAAGGCAGTGAAAAATTATAGAGCTGTGATCTTAGGGGAAAGGAAACAAAGTATGGCAACTAGCTTTCTGGAGCCATATAGCTCTCGTTTTGAGATATCTGAAAAGGTGTCACGGAAGTTATGAAAGTGAGCAAAGACATTTTTTTTTATTCTATTTATTGTTTTATTTACTCTATTGTATTAGCCTGGCAGGACTATAGAAACAAAACTGGACAGTGAGGCCATGCAAAATAGATGGCCCTGGGGAAGCTCTTATCCTACATGCTAAGAGTAAGGGTGAACTAGAACTATACCAGTTTTCTTTGGGACAGAAGCTGAACTTCACTTATCACAATCTCTGAGACTGAGATAGGATGACCCCAAATTACTAGTGTACCTAGATGCTGATTAGAAGCAAAGATGGGCTGGACATGATGATGCAAGACTGGATACTGATGATATTAATACTCTATCCAACATGATCTGTCTTTTTCCCCAACAATTTTAGGCCAAGTGTGGTGGTGCACACCTGTAACACCAGCACTCAGGAGGCTGAGGGCAGGAAGATCGCTGTGAGTTCGAGACCAGCCTGGGCTACATAGTGAGTTCCAGGTCAGTCTCAACTACATAGTGAGACCCTGTCTCTAAAACCAAAATAAATAAGTAAATAAATAAACAAGCAATCTTTCAGTATATCTCAAACATGTTGATTTCCTTGACGTCTTTCCCAAAGACCTACAAGCCAGTGTTTCTTCCCTTCCAATTGTGAAATAAACAGCACAAAAACGAGTCTAAAATTAGAAAAAAATTGTATACTAAAAACAGAAGAACATGTCTTAAGCTAAATAATTATGTTTTAAGGGCATTTTCATCTTTCTGAACATTTCCTTCTATCAAGAAACACCCACTTTTAACATAAGTTTTATAAGGAAATTAGGTTTTCAATGTTATACTATACCCATTTCTATATAAATAACTCAAGTTTTACACATATGTCCTATGCTTATTAGACATATATAGGATTGCTGCCTATGAGTACGGGATTAGGAGAAAACTCTGGGTTATAGATAAAAATCTGTGAGTCATGAATTACTGTCGGGAATATAGGAAAAAAAGAAAAGGTCAAAGGACTAAGCATTAGGGAATTCCAACACCAAGATGTCGAAGAGATGAGAAGAACGTGCACCAAAGGAACTGCATAACCAGTGAAATAAGACAGAAAAACAAAAAGGATATTCTGGAAATCAAACAAAAGGTATTTCAAAAAAGCATACTGATAGGTGAAATAACCACTGAATTAAGCAACATGGAAGTCACTTGGGACCATTATGAGGTGTTTTAATATTAATCATCATTAAAAAATACATAATTCAGTACCTGTAAAGTTCTACTCTCCTTCTGCAGATCTTTCATTTTATTTTGTTGCTGGCAAACCCTGTTTAGAGACTCATCTTCTAATTCACCAATTTTGCATTTCACACTCTCCATAATTTGTTCCAAGTCATTAGCTCGTTGTTCCTGATGTGCTGCTCGGCTTTGTTCTAGCTGAAGCTCATTTCTAATTTAATAGACATAATTCCTCCCCTTAGTATTAAAAATAAACTAAATCACCAAACATGCTCACTGAACAACTTACTTTATAAAATTTCTTTGCATTAATACTGTGTTTTTGTTTTCGTGCTAAGGTCTGAGCCCAGCACCTTGAGCATGATAAGCACATTTTACCAATGAGCTACACCCTCGGCCAACATTTCTAAAACAGAAACTAACAGAAGAAATACAATACAATTACATTATCTACTCTGAGCTATTACCAAAACATTTATCTATCAAAATTTTACCTAAATATCTACAAAAAGTTTAAAATTTTAACATTTAATCAAAATGAAAAAATAAACTTTAGGATCCTTTTCAAAGTATTTTTAGGATACAAACAATTTCTTACTTAAGTTGCTGATTAGTTTCTATGAGTTCTTGTATCACATTCTGTTGACGTTCTGTTTCTTCCACCAACATTTTCAAATTCTGTCTCATCCTTTGTGATGATTGTTTATCAAAAATGATAAGATCTACATTTTTAAAATATGATAGTAAAAATAAAGGCAAAAACAGACTAATATAAAAAATTTTATAAAGAAAAATAATTTTTTTACCTTGAAGAACAATAAGATCTAATTACCTTTAAGATCTGTTCTTTGGACGAGGCACAAAGGTTTTAAGCCATGCCTCATTAACAGCACATTTATGATTTCCCATTCTGCTTCTTCCTGCTAAAGTCCCAAGAGAAAAGGATTGACTTTAAGACATGAAGCAAAAAAAAAAAAAAAAAAAAAAAAAAAAAAAAAAAAAAAAAAAAAAGTTAAATTTAAAAAAAAAAAAAAAAAAAAAAAAAAAAAAAAAAGAAAAGAAAAGAAAAGATAAAGACATACCTAACTACACAGAGCCAATAATTTACACAGTTGTTTGTATACTGGACAAAGTCTAACCTTAAAAAGGAGCCTATCAATCTGGATAATAGATTCTAATAGAATCACCCTGAAATCTTGGATCTCTGGACTCTAAATTTACATCCTAAAAAAGGGAAACCTAAATCTCTGTAATGAATAAAAACATCATAATGGGGAAAAAAATAAGAAACAAGTAATAAGGACATAAAGATAATAGATGATTTCTAAAAGAACACTTAGGGGTTAGGGGTATAGCTCAGTGGTAAAGTACAGGCTTAGCACACATGATTCCCTCAGTTCTCTCCCCAGTATCACACACAGAGATTACAAATTTGGACAACAGACAAAATACAAATAAAAGTACTATATTCTTCATATCTAAATGCCTCAAGATTTTAAAGAGCCTATCATCTCAAAAAAGGAAATAACCCTGATGATTCTTTGAAATAAATTTCTTTTAGGCTGCTGCTATTTTCCCCCCTTATTTTTAACATATTTCTCTCTAACTTTTCACTCTTCTATGCATTAGGTCTTTAGATCACAGAGCTTAACTATTTGGTGAATTCAAAATTATCACTGGTACCTGAAAAGGAGCCAAAAGCTCTGTACAAGTGTCTCAGTGGAGGTTTACTATAACTCCTTAAACATAAAATGCTCTTACAAAAGGTTATACACTTCAAATGATATTCTTACCTGATACCTCTTGGATCATAATGAAAAAATTCTAAAAACAGTAAGAGAAGGCATTTCCATCTCTTGCTACAAACCCCAATCTAATGAAATGTTCACTAAACAAGTATTAAATAAGAAGGAAAATGATAATACTGACTTCTCCTTTTGGAGATAGACAAGATTGTGAAGTCTTAGTGTGACAAAGATATTTAACAGTCTCCAATCCAGAATTCCCTAAAATTATTTGGCCAAAGAAGCTTTATTTTGTGAGATATTTCACATCTGTAGACCTAACATTTTTTGGCACACAGAAACAGTATCTTAAAATATTTGAAAGTTGGGGCTGAAGATTTAGCTCAATGGTTCCGCCACCTGCCTTACAAGTGCAAGGTCCAGAGTTTGATCACAGGTAAAAAAAAAAAAATGAAAATTTACCTGTTTTTCAATCATGAGTCTGTTTGATAACTGACTGGATTCTTGGGCTTTAGGGGCTGCTGGCGGCATTGTTTCTCTTGCAGAATCCAAAGAGGTAGAGGTTGGCAATAAAATAATTTGAGTTGCCTAAATTTTAAAAAGTACAATAGGAATTAAAGGAAATTATATTTAAAATAATCTATTATTCTTGCAGGGCAAATTAGGCAATGTCTGTAAGATTTATTTGGATAAACCCTATCTGACAATGTTTTCCGCTGGAGGGGAAGACATTATGGGATTTTACATACACAGAGAATAATAGAGAAAATAGTTTTAACAAGATAATGTAAAAAAGACGTGACACTAATAAAATATCTTTTGGAAGTTGTTATCCAAACACTTAAAAGAACCGTGTTTTACCAAGAGTTATAAGCCAGGCCTACAAGTTACTGGACTCTAAAGATAAATGGAGTATCACTTTGTTAGGTGGTCTTTATTTCCAAGTACAACAAATGCTTCTGGTTGGCACAAAAGAATTCGTATGGTCCGCTCTACCATCACTTACTCTTATCTGAGATTGCTATTGTAGAGCAAAGAATTTCCTAGGTTTCTCTGATATACAGATATAATTCTTTTCCAGAAGCAAAGTTACATATGCATTAGAATCATGGAATTTCAGAGTTTGAAGGGGGTCCTTGGAAAGATAAGATAGGCACAGTTAATCAATTCAGAAAAGACTGGACTCAGGGAGTCAGGACGACAACAACAAAGGAGTGACAGTTACAAGGAGACATAAACCAACCATGCATACCAAGGAGGCCAGACGTATGAGGACAAAATAATGCCACAACTGCTGGAAAAGGTTGCTCTGGGCTCCCTGGTTGCCATGTATGTGGATTTAAAACATGCATCAGGTATGTAAGAGCCGCTAAGGAATTTGGCACTGAAAAGGTAAGAACCTTTTTTTTTTCCTTGAAGGCATTACCAATTGCAAAGAGCTGCGAAAGCAAATGAGCGCCAAAAATCAGTCACTCCGACTTAAACTGGCTCCCTCTCTGCCGGATTCTTTTAGTACCTTAAGAATACTGTACTAATAGGAAGAAAAGGTGCAAAGGGGAAATGGGAGGGACAGGAGAAAAGGAAGAGGGAAATGGAATTAATATGAGAAAAAGAAAAGATGGAAACAAAGTCTTTGTAAATGGGGAGGCCCCGGAGGGGTTGAAGGGAGGACAGGGGTGTGGGGAAAAATAAGAACCAAGATGGATTGTGTAAAGGTGCAAATTTCCAATGATGAAAATCATTATACTGTATATCTCAAATATACCAATAAAATTAATTTTAAAAGTTTTTAAAAAAGAAGATTGTACTGCTAAGCATCTGGCAGAAGCAAATGGAATCTTCTCTGGAGAAAGGACACAAATTATTCCCACAGAAATGTTTCTAATACATCTTTTAAAAACATCAAACATAACTATGGTACCCAGAAAATAAGTCATAAGAAGAATGTAAAAAAAGAAAGAACTCTGACACCGTAATTATTAAAAATATATCATAACTCAGCGTGGTGGCGCACGCCTGTAATCCCAGCACTTAGGAGGCTGAGGCAGGAGGATCGCTGTGAGTTCCAAGACCAGCCTGGGCTACATAGTGAGTTCCAGGTTAGTCTCGACTACATAGTGAGACCCTGTCTCAAAGAAACCCCTCGCAAAAAAGAATACATCATAAAACTATTCTTACATTGTTCTCCACTTGGTAATCTTATATTGGCATATTTTCTTATGATTAGAGAACTAGAGAGACGCAAAATATTCCCAATGGATACCTGAGAACTGAGTAACCTTATAGTTTAAAACCAAAATTTCTTAAAAATATTTTTCTTAGGGGCTGCAGGAAATAGCTCAGTGATAATGTGTGTGTGAAATACTAGGTTTGATCTCCAGGACCACAAAATTGATTGACTGTCAGTACCTAGTAAATTTGGGTAATATTTGGTTAGTAGAATGTTTTGGTTCAAATTTGAAATGTATTCGGAAAACTCTTGTGCTAAAGGTTTGGTTGCTGATGGTCTCTGGAGATGTAGATGGATAATGATGGCTCTAATTTCATTAGCACACTAGTCCACTGATAACTAGATGGCATTTTTGGGAGGTGATGTATGTTAGTTACTTTTTATGTTTCTGTGACAAAATACTCGACACCCAAAGTTAAGGAAAGGTTTATTTTGACTCACAGTTTGTAGAGGTTTCAGTTCATAATTGGCTGGCTCCAAGGCAGGGTGCAGAGAAGCAATAACAGTACAGGCAGGAGGCAGCAGCAGATACAGCAGCAAGGAGTGAAACAGCAAACACTGACAGCAGCAGCAAGGGACAAGTGATAAAAGCAACCATCTTTCTGTCCCTTACAGTCTATCCAGGCTACCCGCCCTTCGGGAGGGCAGCACTCACACCCAGGGCGGACCTTCCCCTTATCCACACCCAGAACTACACCACACCGATCAGTGGACTAATTTAGCAATCATACACTATAGCTACAGCCACCTCTGAAAAGCTCCACCTATGACTACACAAGGCTTTGGGGGGACATCTAGACACAAGTGATAATATGATAGTAACAGGAAATAGGGTCTAGTTAAGGGAGTAGATGATGTGTCCTGACCGTGGGGAATATCTTGGTCCTTGTCTCTGTGGCTCTGCTGATCTCTCTGCTTCTTGACTGCAATGAGCTGAGCAACTTTGCTCCTCCATACCCTTCTGCCATGATGTTCCATCTCACCTCACGGCCCAGGAGTAAAGGTGTCAGAGACCATGGACTAACACTCCTGAAACTACGGACCAAAATAAATCTTTTTTTTTTTTTTCAGGTAATTTGGTCACAGTGACCAAAAGCTAACATGTAGAGCCGATAGTTTTAATAGAAAAATGGAGACTGAGCAATGTAGAAAACCAAAGTTGAAGATGAAAGGAGGGGGTTAGCCAGATGGTAAGATTTTGGTACTTGTTTTCTATCTTCTAAAAATAAGACCTACTTTTAGGATTTAAATCACTAGTAAGTACCCTTGCCATATAGTCAGGAGTATCATCTTTGGTCTAAGAATTACTTACAGTCTTTTCACTTCACCTCATACTTACCACCTACAGAAATGTGTACTATAAATATATTTACATACACAAATAGGTTCTTATATACTTAAATGTTTTATATGTTTATATACATACGTACACATATATAGTATATAGAAGTATGATACACATATGTAAATTTATTTAAAACTTATAGAGGCAAATGGTAATAAGCATAATGTTGCAACAAGTTCTATTGAAAAAGTTGAAAACAAAACTATTGCTACCTCTCTGTGATATCCTTAACTTCAAAGTCTTTCATATGAGTTTTAGGCCTAACTCCTCCCACGTATTACCTCCAAAACAAATGCTTTTCCCCCCTGTGTATTATACTATCAACTGCATTATCTTTTCTTTAAAGTCATAACTATGATTTGTTTTTCCACATGACACTGAACATCTGTTTTAGAATGTCTTCCTATTAATGTGGCTAAATCATTGCCTTTTAAAAGAGAAAACAGAGAACAGTAGATCTTCAATATCTTAAAAAAATAAAAGACCAAGGGGCCAAAAACATACACTGGAGGAAAGATATCTTCTTTAACATAGTCTTGCTTTCTTGAACTACAGGAAATTGTGCTTGTGCACAATTGTCCCATCAGGTGGCCTATATCACTGCAGGTACATGTATCACCAATAAAAGTGATTAGATCCATTTGTACCATCAGGGGTACACTTTACTGGACAGGACAGTCATGCATATACAACTAGTGGTTCAAATCCACAGGAAAGTAACATGTTCAAATCAGAGCCACTGGACAGTGAGACATATGAATTATGGCCCCATCGTGAATTAATAAATGACACTAGGGAAATTGCTACCCATATGCAAAAGACTGGGTCTAGACCCATGTATCTCACCACATAGCAAATTGAAATAAAAATGGACCAAAGATCTAAACGTTAAAACAGAAACAATTTGCTGGAAGATAAAATAGGTAAAACCTTTGAAGACATTAAGAGTGAGGAAAGGGAACTAGCAGATAGAATCAACAACTGGGATCTCATCTTACTAAAAAGCTTCTGTACTTCAAAAGAAACCATTAGCAAAACTAAGAGACAATCTACAATGTAGGAAAAAATTTTTACCAGCTGTACCTCAGACAAAGGACTATTATCAAGGATATATAAAGAACTCAAAACAATCAGTCCCCCCAAATATAAAGACCCGATTCAAAAATGGGCATCCGAAATGAATAGATATTTCTCAGACAAAGAAGTAAAGGCAGCAAGAAAATATATGAAAAAATGTTCCACATCACTGGTCATTCGAGAGATGCAGATGAAAACAACACTGAGATTCCACCTCACCCCACAAAGAATGGCTGCTATCAAGAAATCACACAATAGCAAATGTTGGCAGGGTTGTGGGGAGAAAGGAACCCTCCTCCATTGTTGGTGGGAGTGCAGACTAGTGCAACCACTATGGAAATCAATATGGAGATACCTCAAAGAGCTTGGACTGGAGGTTCCATTTGACCCAGCCATCCCTCTGCTGGGTATCTTTCCAAGAGAACTAAAAGAATCATATCACAGAGAAGTATGTGCACCCATGTTTATAGCGGCACAGTTGGTAATAGCTAAATCTTGGAAACAGCCTATTTGCCCATCCGTTGGAAACTGGATAAAGAAGTTGTGGTTTTTCTATAAAATGGAATATTACTCAGCCATAAAGAGCGAGAGAATAGATTGATACATAGGAAAATGGATACATATTGAAGATATACTCCTAAGTGAAATAAATAAGTCACACATGTGTAAATACCAAATAGTTTCCCTGGTGTGAATATTCTGCAACAATGCATAAGATTCTAATAAGATTACTGACATTTAGAAATTTGAAGAAAGGAGCTAAAGGTGTAGGGAAGGTGTGATGCGTAGGGGAAGAACAAAAATGGAAAAGAAAAAAATGTGAGAGAATGAAAAGATGAAAATAAAGTGTTTGTAGATGGGGAGGGGAGGAGGGGGTGAAGGGAGGGCAGAGGTAAGGGGAAAAAATGAGAATCAAGACTTGCCATGTAGAGGTACATGATCCCAACAATGAATGTAACTGTACTGTATCCCTAAAATGTACCAATAAACTCAATAAAATTAAAAAAAAAAAAAAAGAGTGAGGAAAGACTTTCTGAACAGAACCCCAATGACACAAAAATACCAAGAATCAGCAAATGGGATCATATCAAATTAAAAAGCTTTTGTACATTGAAGGAAACAACCAACAGAATAGAGAGCCCACAGAGTGGAAATTGTTTTTCTAGCTATTCCTCCGACAGAAGACTGACATATAGAATATATACAAAACTCAAAATATTAGAACCACCAAAATGAAAGACACAATAAAAAAATGGGCAACTGAAATAAACAGATAATTCTCAAAAGTACAGATGGCCAAGAAATACCTGAAAAACTGCTCAACATAACAGCCATAAGAAAAATATAAATTAAAACACTAAGATACTATCTTACTCCAGAAAGAATGGCTATCAAGAAATCAAATAACAAATGCTGAATGGATAAAGAAAATGTGGTATTTATACACAATGGAGTACTACTCTGCCATAAAGAAGGATAAATGTGAGGCATTTATAAATGGATGTACCTTGAGACTATATTAAGTGAAATAAATCACACACAGAAGTTTAAATATCACATGGTTTCTCTCATATGAGGAAAACCAAAATATAAATAAAGAGCAAAATAAAATAGGTAGTGTAGTTTTTTTTTTTCAAAAGGAAAGGGGTAGAAGAGATGGAGAAGGGAGAGAAAGAAGGGTAAGGGGATTACAAAAAACTGAAAAAATGGAAATAGAGCTTTTGCAAATGGGAAGGAGGACAGGAATTGGAGAGAGCAGGGAAAGATGGGAGGGTTGGGGGCACAAAAAAGAATTAAGATGTGTTGATGGGCACATTGGTGCACACCTGTAATCCCAGCACTTAGGAGGCTGAGGCAGGAGGATTGCCACAAGCTTAAAATAATCCTGGACTATGTAGTAAGACCTTGTCTCAAACAAACAAACAAACAAACAAAATTAAGATGTGTTATGTACATGTACAAACTCCCCACAATAAATGTAATCACTGTGTACCAAAAAGCAAAAACAAAACATTGTATACTGCAAACATGCACTAAAAAAATAAAAATAAAAAGGGAAAAAAAATGTCCTTTCCCCTTTTTTATTTTTGGTACCAGGTATCAAACTCAGGCCCTTGTGCTTGTGAGGCAGGGGGCGGAACCACTGAGCTAAATCTCCAATCCTGACATGCCACTTGCCTCGCAAGCACAAGGGCCTGAGTTTGATCCCCAGTACCAAAAAAAAAAAAATAGACATGCCAGCTTTGTTTCTATACTGTAAGCAAAAATTAATGTTTCTTTTACATTATGAGAGAGTGTCTCACCCAGGCTGGTCTCAAACACAGGGCAATCCTTCTGTCTCAGCCTCCCAAGTGTCACCACATAAAAAAATGTTTCATTTTAAAACCAGTAATTCATTGGCTGGGAGTGGTGGTGCACACCTGTAATTCCAGCACTTGGGAGGCTGAGGCAGGAGGATCGCTGTGAGTTCGAGACCAGCCTGAGCTACATAGTGCGTTCCAGGTCAGTCTCAACTACATAGTGAGATCCTGTCTCAAAAAACCAAAATAAACAAATAAATAAATAAACAAACAAACCAGCAATTCATTTATTCTTGCTCAAATGTACACATACATTTCCAATACACTAAAGGAGGCAGAACTGAAATTTAGACTACACCTTTTCGTAGTAATGATCAAAATTTGTGCACTATATACTACTCAAAGTGAGCTCTTATTTTGCATCATTTCTTTAAACAACAGCTTGAACCAGCAATAATGAGGTCTAGATATTGCCTTCTCTTTTATGTAGAGCAACCTGAAATAAAGGCTACATGTAGAAATAACTGAATTGAGTGGTTATATACTATTCATGGATTGCGTGTTTTAAGGCATGCACAAATTGCTTTTTCCAAACCCCAACTTTTAAACGTCTAGAACTACTCTTATATGGACAAGTCTGAATTTTTGATGTTTACATTTTTACAACTTAAAAATATAAAATCTGGCAAGCACAAGGACTTGAGTTCAATCCCCAGTACCATATATACATGTGTGTGTGTGTGTGTATGTGTGTGTGTGTGTGTGTATAATCTGCCTTACAGCAAATACACACTCACTCAAACGCAACACATCAGACCAGACCAAAAAAGAATACTCTGTGACAGCACTGATTTGAAACTTTACAAAGTGGTGACAGCAGATCAGGGGCTGCTGGGATAATGAAAGACTGGGAAGAGAAAGAAGACTAAGGGAAACAAGGAAATCTAGGGGATAACAGACATATCCACATCCTGACTATGGTGATGGTTTCACAGGAGCACATGTATGTTAAAAGTTCTCAAATTTTACACTTTAAACACATACAATGATATATTCACATCTATCAATAAAGTAAATTTTAAGTAAGCTGTTTCCTGGAGTTGAAAAAAAATTTGCAGCTATATATGGAAAGAGCATATCAAGTATCTGAGAGCACTGACTCAGAACAAACATCATCAAAACTAGATTAAATCTAATAAAATTACTGGACTTTACTGTAAAATAAAAATTCTTATCTAGGTGTGGTAGTTCATGCCTGTAATCCCATATATTCAGGAGGCTGTAGCAGGAGGATCACTAAGTTCAAGGCCAGTTTGGGCAATTTAGCAATAATCTATCTCAAAATTTTAAAAAATATTTAGAATGGAAGGACGGGCTAGGGATTCAGCTCAGTAATAGAGTACATGCCCGGCATGCAGGAGGCCCTGGGTTCCATCCCCAGTACTGCAAAGAAAATTCCTTTTTTCTAACTGGGGTGGGGGTGGGGGAGAAAAACACCACCACCAACACTCTCAAAAACAGAAAACAAAGCAAAAAAAAAAAAAAAAAAAAAAAAAAAAAAAAAACATACTTTAGACTTTAGCTCTGGGACAGAGACTGATCAGATAACAAGAGTATCAAAAATGATGAGGGTCCAATCAAAAAGACTTATTGAACCAGGCGTGGTGGTGCATGCCTGTAATCCCAGCACTGGGAGGCTGAGGCAGGAGGATCGCTATGAGTTTGAGACCAGCCTGGGCTACACAGTGAGTTCCAGAGCAGTCTGAACTACATAGTGAGACCCTGTCTCAAAAAACCAAACAAAAAAAAAGGACTTATTGAATAGATTTCCACTAGCCAAAGATGAGACAATATGAACTTCAACAATGATAATAACGGCAATGAATTTAAACCCAACATGTAATACTGCATTTATGAGTTTTAAGTGATGCCAGATCTTTTAAAATTGCTCATAGTTGGCTGGTTCCAAGGTAAATTGGCATGGCAGAGGGGCGTGGCAGAGGAGGAAACAGTTCATGGTGGGCAGAAGGTAGCAAAACAAGAAAGTGACAAGCTACAAATAAGAAGCAAGCCTCTTTCTGTCCCTTATACTGTATCCAGGTTATCCACCCTTAGGGCAGATAGCACTAACACCCTTAAATCCTAGTATTGCCCCATGAAACAATCACACACTCAGGATCCAGCCACTTGTGAAAAAACCCCACCTCTGACTGCCTGAAGCTTTGGGGGAACATCTAAACACAAGCCATAACAATTACCTTCAGAAAAGAAGGAACCAATTCATTATTAAGAAAATAAATAAATGGAGGGAATCATTATTCTGCTTTCCTATATAATCTGCACTTCTGGATATCCAAATGATAGGTGGACTAGTATTCCAACTAATATAAAAAGATAAATATCACTATTTTTCAACCCTCAGTAAATGGACATAGTCAAGTATCAACAGTTGCTGAGAGCAAAAGGACAAAGACAATAAAACATTATGAGCCTCTTATAGTCTTGCCAAACACTATTCAAAGAATTACCTAAGGGATTCAGTTTTGGATCCCGCTAACAATGTGCAAGAATTACTAAGGGCAAAGAAGCATAACGAATGGAATACGAGATTACAACCAGCAGAATTCAGACTATAGGAAATATACAGGTCAACCCACCCAGAGACCTAACCAGATAATTATAACAAAGGAAAGAAGTGAAGAAAAACCTACAGATTCCTTAAACACTTTCTTAATGGGCAAGATTATAGGCACAAAACTGGACATTTGTAAGAAGGAGAAATAATTACTATAAAAATCAGGTGTCATGGTTAAGATTGAAAATGTTCCCCGTGGGGCTGGGGATTTAGCTCAGTGGTGCCACACCTGCCTCTCAAGTGCAAGGTCCTGAGTTCGATCCCCAGTACCAGAAGGGGGAAAAAAAATGTCCCCCAGAAGTCTCATGCGTTTAGAGGTGGGGCTTGTAGAAAGAGACTGGATTATGAGGGTGCTATAGTTGACCTGCTGTTAGAGATTGGGGGTCTGGTCAAAAGAGGCAGGTAACTGGGAGCCTGACCTAGAAGCATATATCTCCCTCCTGGGTTCCTCCCTGTTCTCTGTTTTATGAGCACCACGATATGAGCAGCTTTTCTCTGGCCAGCCTCTTCCATCGTGCGATTTCTGACTTCTTGCAGCTGGTGGACCATGGACCAAAATTTTGAAAACCGTGAGTCAAAATAAATCTTTCCTCTTTTAAGTTGTAGGTGTCGAGTATTTTGTCCCAGCAATGAGAAAGTGACTAAGACATCAGGAGAATGGCAAGTAACAGGAGCACAGGAGCTGTTTGTAGGATAGGACAGTGGAGGAGCTCTAGCATACTGTATGGTATCATGTTATAATAATTCATTAAGTTACAAGTTTAGTATATGAGGGTTCTGTTTTACTTCATAATAAAAAATTCATTTTATAATAAAAATATTTTTCCTAAAAGGAATACATGCTGACCAAAAGAAAGCTGGTAGACATACACATAACACACAGCCAAAAAAGCATTACTTTTCTAATACTTCAATTTTCTCATTTAAAAAAATGAGATAATAAAAGTACTTAGTTCACAGGATTATTGTGAAGAATAGAAGAGTTCATATGGAAAGAACACAGAACAGTGCCTGGCATACAGCATAACAAATGTGGTGGTTAGAGCTGGTAATTGGCTGTGTTGTTGGTGATCGTGTGTACTGTCTTAATCCCTCTAAGCTTCAGTTTCCTTACTGACTTTTAAAACGTATTTACCTGACAAGATTATCAGGATGCTAAAAAAATATGCACTATAGCTAGCATAATATTCAATAAATAATAAATTTTTTCATGACCTTCCAATATCTAGAGTCATCTGTCCCATGAGACATACCTCAGTCATTGTACATTCCTCTTGCACTTTACACCTGGTCATTCAAGTTATCTCAATGAAATGATCACCTAATGAGTCTCATGTTCGAAACTGGATCTTCATCTAGGTTTCAAAAAGATACAGACCAAAATTTTAAAAGATTCAACCTGTTAGTAAGAATGGCCTTGTGTTTTTCCCAGAGCAGGCGTCTGTGGTTCTGGCATCCACCAAACCCAAACAACTGCAGTGACTGCTAATGGCCCCCACAGCTCCCTACTGTATCACATGCCTCTTATTTCTTCTTTCCCCTTCTTAGCATTTCTGTTTTGTTTGAACATTTTTTAGGTATCTGAGTCTATCATCATTTCAGATTTCTAGCTTCAAAGGTAGGACATCTTTACTCACAACAGCACCAAAATGAGGCACTTTCGCAGAGACAAAATATGACTGATCACAAAGCAAAGGCAGGAAGAAAACCACTAATTTACACCTGTGATCAAGCCCTCCCTCTACTTGAGAGGTCTACTCTGAAACAAATGTGTAATTTGCAGCAGCTTTTTCCCTACTTCAGGCTATCATAAGACACAGGTTTACAACCTTAATAATCACAAGAAGAGACCAAATGCTTCCCAGGGCCAAGGCAGAGTTGTAGGTCTAATAAGTGTCACTGACACAAAGAGTACAGGATGCTATGAGTGGCGGCACATGCCTGTGATTTCAGCGCTCAGCAGGCTGAGGCAAAAGGACTGCCATGTGTTCAAGGCCAGCCTCAACTATATAGTAAGTTCAGGGTCAGCCTAGACTACATAGTGAGACACTGTCTCAAAAAACAAAACTATACGAGTAAGGGATAGAGAGGTAACAATAGGTTTGTATATGGCAGTGATGGCAAACCTTTTAGAGCTTTCAATGATACAAACAGCCTGCTGTATGGTTCATACCCCATAGGCTCACCACCACTGGTATATGGTATATAAAGCTAAGTGCAAAAAGAAAAAAAAAAAAAAAAGGACGGGGAATATTCTAGCACTGTTTCCCAAGAGCCTTTCTTTAAATTGTTCTTTAAAGGTCTAAAGCCACTGTAACGTGCACATACATTATTCTTCACCATTTTTGTAGAAGAAACCTGGAAATAAACTATGAGCAGCGTCTGTTCTTTTTCAAATGAGTCACACCAAAATCAGCAAGGATCTCAAAGTATATCTTTGAAATCATTGCAATAAGTGAACGTAATTCTTTACATGTTTCTGTTCTCTGCTCACATAAATATTGCTCCAAAATATTGAAATGTGCTGTTTTAAGGTTCCTGAGAAAAAAATAAATCTACAGTAAGGAGTGGAAATTAGGACTGGATATTATCTTAACCATTATTCAGCCCCAGGAGAAGTTACTAAAGGGACAGAGCAGTTTTTGCTGCTCTGAAGCAAAAACTGCCATGAAACTCCAAGCCAGCCAGCTACCTCTTGCCCTTTTGGGTGGTCTATTCATAATCTTTAAAAAGAAAAAAGGAAATAAAATGAATCTTATGCAAAGGATTGTAGCTAATGAATAATGCCTGAGTGTTAAATATTATCATGATTAAAAATAAGATGGCCACACACACCTGTAGTCCCATTATTCTGGGAGGTCGAGGCAGAAGGATCTCCAAGTTCCAGCCCAGCCTGGACAAACTGAGCAACTATGTGAGATCCTGTTTCTCCAAGAAAAGGAGGTAAGCAGGAGGTCTTGAGAAATGCAGCTCAGTGCAAAGGCCCTAGGTTCAATCTCCAGTACCGATATAAATCAAATAGGCAATCAAGACCCTTCTGCTGGGTTTCTAATGTCTCTTAAAAGAATCAGTGTAAAGCCGGCCTGGTTGAGCAGCCAGTGATCCCAGCACTCAGGAGGCTGAGGCAAGAGGATCACCGTAAATTCAAGGCCAGACTGAACTGCACAGCGGAACCGTATCTCAAAAAACAAACAAAAATCAAAGTAGACGCCACATAGTCAGAATGCCCCCGGAACGAGCCTAAATGGGCAGAGTAAGGGACACCCAGCCACCTGTGCCCCGAGATCCCCTCGCTTTGCTTCCAGCGATCGCAGACTCGGACGCCGAACACCGGGGCGAGCGGACCAGTTGCAACGGACTCTTGCGGAGGGAGTGAGTACAGTTCCCAGAAACTACGTATAGTCTGTTCCCGGCTTTATCATCATCGCACCATGGCACGATTCAGCCTTCACAATCTCGTCAGGCGACACTTACTACTACATTTACAAACAAACAGGCACCGAGGCTTTCCGAAGTGCACAAAGAACTGACAAGCCCGGCGGCAAACCAGGTTTGTCCAAGCTCTAAACCTCCACAGATTTTTAATTAGCGTAGACCGGTCCCAAGGGCTCCTCCCCGCGGTCTCGTGTGCCGCCAAGTCTGGGGGTCTTCTAGGACGAGGTCTCTGATAACACCTTCAGCGACCTCAAACACAACTCACGTTTTTCAGCCGCCGCCTCCCACCGGTAGCCAGTCCCGCCCGGCTCTGCTCAGCGGTTGAATCTTCGCCTCAGCCACCGGTACCGCCGCGGCTAGGAAGGCCAGCCAATCGAGCCCGGGCGCGTCGAGGGAGCAACCCCACCCCCCATCCCCGCTCGGCCTCCTAAATACTCCGAGCGACTCTCTCGGGCAGCCCGGGAAGGCTGGGCCCGCCGTGTACTCTGGTTGGCTCCGCTGCTGGGGGCGGGGCTTATCGCTGACATAGACGTAGCCCGCGTTGCTGACGTAGCACGCCCAGCGCCCCCCCCCACAGACTTCAGCCAGGTAGGCACTTGGGCGCACATTTGGAACCTTGTTTATCCAGAAGTTGTCAGAAATACACGTATTTGTCAAAATGAGAACCGAGCTATATTATGTAAAGGTATAGATTCCCAATAACGATTGCCAGTATATTGTATACCTAAAATGTACCAGTAAAATTAATGAATTTTTAAAAAAATACATATTTGTGGCTGCAGGTCAAAGTGAAGTCTGGACTTCCCGGTCACCCCTTTCGATACCCACCCCGGCTCTCTCTCTCCTCACCTTAACTGTGAGCTCTTTCTGGGGGCCGGTCAACATGTTCCAGCCCAGGCTGACCACGGTAGCAGCTGCCATTGGAAGACCCAAACATTTGTTGATAACGTTTCACCCACTCGTTCAGCATTTTTCAAGTTTACGAAGTGCAAGGCCCTACGTTAGGCTGCACCAATGCAGAGATGCTTGACTGATGCGTAGAAGTTAAGGAGATAGGTATACATTCATGATCGTGTGATAAGCCTGCTCAGAGAAGGGCGCGCAGGCGCAGGAGGGAAAGGATTACTGTACGTAAGGCTGTCGCTGGAGTCTCCGAGGCCGGCGTGGCACAATCCTGGCTGCACATTTGAATCACCTGGGAAGCTTTGAAAACTCGATGCTTAAGACCCTGGCCCATTAAGTTAGAATCACTGAAATAGGACCCAGGTGTTCAGAATGTCTAAGGCTCCTTGGATGACTCCACTATGCAGCCAAGAGGGAGGAAGGCATATGTAGAGGGCTCCTTAAAATTTTCTGAAAAGTAAGAGTTCCCCAACAAAACAGTGAGGAAAAGTAGAGAACACTTCTTGGGCCAGAGCATATCTCCCTTCCCAAAAACTACAAACCTAATTCCTAAAACATTTACAAATATAATAGAACTTACTGAAGGCTTCCTGAGGAATCTGTGTTACATCATTAAGAAGCAAAGAAAGGCCTTAGGAGATGGGATATGGTGCTGGGACTTTATCCAGGAGGTGATAGGAAACCACTGACATATTTTCTAGGGTATATACAATGGAAACAGTTTTGCTTTGATGGCTTCAAGCTTCCTTTTCTTTCACCCTGATATATGTTTTTAAAAATCTGTACAAGTATGTTCCACAGTGTATGAATATGATCAGTTTATTCAAACACAAAGATTGATACAAGAAAAATATAATTTCCACCCTGTTAGATGTCAAATGTACCAAGTGTATGGTTTCACAATATAGAGAAATGAAGTCAAGAATCAAAGAAAAGAGAGTTTTATTGGAAATGAGCGGGGAAAAGAATAGCTCTTGGGTCTGGGGATTTAACTCAGTGGTGCCGCCATCTGCCTTGCAAGTGCAAGATCCTGAGTTTGATTCCCTGATACCAAAAGAAAAAAAAAAGCTCTTGGGTTTCTAAGAGGAGTCTCAAATAGGGTGGCCACCAAGGTCCTTTGTCAGGGGTAATTTATACAGCAAAGTCACAATGTAGGATCGAGTACTGTATAGCTGCTTAGTTAATATTGATCCAATAGGGAAATGAGTCATGTAGCAAGGGTACTTGGGAAAAACAAAGGTACTTTTGGGAAGGGGAGAGTATGGGTCTGGATTACCTGGTCATCCAGCTAAGCACCTGATACCTATCAGGGCCCACTAGACCAGGTGGTGCTAATTACAATTTAATCTCAAATTGCTATTTATCTTCCAGGCCTAGCTACTGATTATCCATCCACAGGCCTGACTCTTTTCAGATGTGCCTCTAGCCACAATTCCTCAGCAAGTTCTGATGTTTTTGGCTGACTTCTTTGAGGACCCGATCCCTCTCTGTATATTAATTTTTATCTAACTTAGCTACCTGTAATAAATGAGCTCAACCTGATATTTTTGTTTAGTAAATTCACAATCTAAAACTAGACTCCTGTCCACCATTTCCAAAAATTTATAAGGGGTTAGCTGGTCAAAAATATTTAAAGGGAAAATCCACATTCCACACTGGGAGAAAAGGCCTCAGGGATCCACCATTGTCATTGCATCTCATAGCCACATGGTGTCGCTATTGACAACATGTCTTTTCTAGTTGGTCAAATGATGCAAGTCTTCCGGTAGCAAATACAGGTTCTATGCTGTCCAGCAGGAATCTACCACGGAGAGCATGGGACAAGGTGTTTTCGCTAGCAAACAACTCTGAAGGAGGCCTTTGTATTTCACGATCATACTGAAAGACCACCAGAAATCTTTACCAGACGTTCCAAAGAACTACCGATCAGTGACAGCAAGACAACACCCCAGAGGAACCCACGAGCCGCACCCAAGAATGGTGTTAAACAGACCTTTATTAGTCTGGCCAGACGGCCCCTCTAAGCAATGATCTGGAAAGCGCCCCGAGCCCAGAGTACAAGAGGGTTTTATACGTTTCTAGATAGGCGGGAAGCAAGCAAAATTACAGAAGCGAAATGCGGCGGTTAGGAGGAACTGAACATACAGCTTGCACAGGATGAGGCTGACATTTCTGTGACAAAGTACAGAGCTGTGGTTAATCTCTACAGGAATGCCATTTCCGTGGCAAAGTGTAGGGCTATGGTTAATCTTTACGGGAATCATCTATCTCTTCTACCTGGAATGTTCACACTTGGTGTTTGTTCCTGACCATTGTCCTGAACATGTGCTGTCCTTCTGATGACTCCCGGCCTTTCCTGCTTTCTCAAGAAGGCGAGCTTAACCTTTAACTAAGATGGCGTCCACGCTGGCACTTTACACCTGACAATACTCAGCCTTCTTCCAAGCAGATGAGGCCACTGTAAGTTTGACCTCAGTGTCTGCCCCAGCCCAATCTCCTCTCTTGCCTTTTCCATAGCTGAGTTTTCACATTACCAATAGCTGGCAAACTTTTTTCTTTTTCTTTTTTTTTTTTTGTTTTGGTAGGGTCTCACTTTGTAGTACAGGCTGGTCTCAAACTTGGTGATCCTCCTGCCTCAGTTTCCCCAGAGCTGGGATTACTTATGTGTGCCACCATGCCTGGCTTAATAGCTGACTGTCTTAGTTACTTTTGTCACTTGTTGCTGAGACAAAATACCCAATACTCAAAGTTAAAAGAGGAAAGGTTTATTGTAGCTCACAGTTTGTAGAGGTTTCAGTTCATAGTTGCCTGGCTCCAAGGCAGGGTGGCATGGCACAGGACATCACAAAGGGAAAACAGTTCATGATGGGCAGAAGGCAGCAAAGTAGCAAAGAACTAGCATCTGGCCTTTCTTTCTGTCCCTTTATATTCATCCAGGCTACCCACCCTTTGGGTGGTGCCACCCACACTCCAGGGTGGGCCTTCCCATTATCCACACCCAGAACTACTGTCAGAGCAGTGGACTGATTTAGTAATTACACAGCTTAATCCCAGCATCACACACCCTAGATCCAGCTACCTCTGAAAAGTTCCACCTATGACTACGTGAGGCTTTTGGGGGGACATCTAGATACAAGCCATAATACTGGCAAATTATTATTTTTGACTGTCAAAGTACAATCTACTTCCCTTTTCCAGGACAGTAGGGCAACTTGCCCACTCTTCTGAGTGTGGCTACCATCATTGTTGCCAGGAGGCCAAACATCTTTGAATGAGTTAGGATTATGTCAGAACCAAGTAAAAGAAACCCTAATTCAAACTGTCCTTTTATACAGTAAAGAAATCGATGATCTCATAATAAGAGAAAACCCAGAGACAGGTAAACTTGGTTCAACAAGTTACCAAGGACCCAGTTGCTATTTGTTTCTCTGCTCTACTATAAACATAAGCTTCAAATTCATGCTAGAGTGACTTTTCAGCTTTATACAAGGAGCAACTGGGATACCTTTTTTTTTTCCATAAAAAGCTGCAGGCGGCAGAACCACTGAGCTAAATCTCCAGCCTCCTTTCGATTTTTTGAGCCAGTTAGATCAACCACATGGGCACACACTGCCCTTTGGTCAGTGACTGCCTGGGAAATACACAGATGGCTTAAGGCTGAGTTCCATAAAGGAACTGGGTAGATAATTGGAACTGGCTTCTAAAGGACCACATAGCCAATAGTCCAACAGTTATGCTAGACTAATACTGGAAAGGTTCACAGGCAATTTTAAATCTCTATCCAGGATCTATAATTCATTTTATTTTTGTCTTTATTCTTGCTATTCAAAAAATAACTTTAAAAAATTGGTCAACCATTAATAATTCCCTTTTCTAATGGAAGTCCAGTGGAAACATAGACTATTATGATAGAGGTGTTTAGCTGCTCTCTTAAGATAAACTGATTGTGTCTGTGGACAAATTCATGAGAGGCAGTTTATGAAGTTGAACAACATCTAGGTAATTCCTGGGGGAGAAACAGAAATAATTCAACAGACAAAAGTCAAAAGTTTGATGGACCTGCATGCTTCAAACTTAAGTTCAATACTTTCACAGTGTTTTGGTCAGACGTGATTTCTTTCCACACAGTCCTATCAGGTAACATGTAACTATTGCTACCTCAGATGTCCTGGGCCTGTGGAACAGATAGGTCGAAAATTCAGCCCAAACTGGTATGTTCCTCAATTCGTTATCCTAGATACTATACCCAGGAGAAACAGCAGCATAGAATTAGCCAGCTGAGGAATCATGGGCCACCTTCCCTAATCAGGGTGCAGACATGAGTGTACCACGGGAGTGGGCTAAACTCTCTACTGTGGGTCCCCTGGGGAGAGGGTACCCCCAAGCCTCATAGGCGCTTTCTTATCACTGGGACATAATGCCTAACACCTACAATCTAGAGGTTTATTTTGGCTCTTGTTCTTAGTCCATAGCTGGCCGGCTCCAAGGCAGGAGGACATCATAGCAGAGGAAAAGATGCTCATGTCATGGCAGCCAGGAAGCAGAGTGGCAGGAAGTCAGGGAGGGAGATACGCTTTTCCAGGTCACACCTCAGTGACCCACCTTCCTGGGTCCACTTCCTAACGTTATATTTAGCTATAGCACCCCCTTGACTCAGTCACTTTTCAACAGTTCCACCTATGCATCCATGAGGCTTTCGAGGGTCAGCCAGATACAAACCAGAAGAGCCTCTGAGTGTAGTCCATATTTTTTCTTCAAACGCAATACTTTTCTAAGAACAGACTTTCTTAATATAAACTTTTCAAATCCCATGGCCTGACTCCAAATCTTGACCTTTTAAAACACCCCCACCCTACCTTCATTTATTCAACAATAATTTATTTCAAGTTTTCTGTTCTACAAAAAAAAAAAAACTATGAAAATAAAATATTAAGTCTTTTGTCTTCAGGGAGTTTTCAGTGCAAGGTGGCAAACCAATCAGTGCTCACTAAGGAGAATCCCTATAACATAAGAATTTGTTATGAAGATCAATTGTCTTTCAACTCTGCCTTTTTTTTTTTTTTTTTTGTACCAGGGATCGAACTCAGTACCTTGTGCTTCCATTCTCCCAACCCGAAAGGTGGAACAATCCTTTCCATTAACAGCAAGCTGCAGAAAGAAGTTATGCAATAGAGTCTAGGTCTCCCTATGCCGTTTCAGTCTGTTCAGGCTGCTAAAACAAACAGCTTAGACTGAGGTACTTCTAAACAACAGAAGTGTACTGCTTACATTTCTGCCAGGGAAGGCCAAGGTCAAAGTACTAGCAGATTCAGAGTCCAGGGAGGGCTTGTTTTTCTGTTTCAAAGATTATGCCTTACTGCTGCATCCTTATGAAACCAAGGCACAACCCGAATAAATTCTGTAGACTTAACCTGCTTTACCTGTTCTTAGTTATTTGCTTTTCTGGACCTAACCCCCCCCACTTCACTTGCTCGTCACTTGCTTTAAAAATTATCTCTTTTGAGGCTATAACACCTCTGACACATGGGTCATGATGATAACTGTTGAAGTTTGATCACGCATGCACAAGCCACCAATTACATCCTAACCTGCAGTCACCTTTCCACGTGCCTCAACCCATAAATCCGCAAGTAGACAAACTTGAAACTTGATCTCCAGTGTTCACAAATGGTGACCTTGTGAATAAGCTTTCTCTTTTTGTCGTAGTGATTGGCATAGTACCACAGGCAAAATGGACCTGATCTTATCACACTGACATGGTGGAAGGGGCAAATAGGCTCTCTCAAATCTTTTTTAATATAGGCACTGTTCCCACCCACTTATGACCTAATCATCCCCAAAAGGTGATTACATTTATGTTAGAGGTTAGGCTTCAATATGATTTTGGAGGAAAGATAATAGTCTTCAGACCACAGAAGCCCCCAAATTTACTGGGCCTCCAGAAGCCCTCCAAAATCCCTTCAGATATCCCTGTTTTGGTCACTGAGCCTCCAGAGACCTCTCCAGGGACCACACACTGATTTCCTCAGGTGAACACTAAAGAAATGACATTAGAGGATGGAAAGACCTCCCATGTTCATGAGTTGGCAGAAATAATACTGCTAAAATGGCCATATTACCAAAAATTATCTACAGATTGAGTGAAATCCTCATCAAAATACCAATGCCATTTTTCACAGAACTAGAGAAAACAATCCTAAAATTTATAAAGAATCATAAAAAGAGCCAGAATAGCCAAAGCAATCCTATGTAAAAAGAGCAATCCTGGAGGCATCACAATACCCAATTTCAAATTAAACTACAAAGCCATAGTAACAAAAACAGTGTGGATATTCACTTAAAGAAGACTGAAACTAGAGCTCTACCTCTTGTACAAAAGTCAATTCAAAATGGTTCAAAGACCTTAGAAGTGAAACTGAAACTTCTAAAAGAAAACATAGGTAAAACACTTGAAGCCATAGGCACAGGTAGAGACTTCCTGAGTAGGACCTTGATAGCCCTGGAAATAATAACAGGAACCAACAAATGGCACTACAAATTTTTAAAATTCCATAAAGCAAGGGAAACAACTAACAGTGAAGAGATGTTCTATAAAGTGGGAGAATTTTTTTTTTTCTTTTTTTGGTACCAGGGATTGAACTCTGGTCCTTGCGCTTGCAAGGCAGGTCACCGAACCACTGAGCTAAATCCCCGGCTATGGGAGAATATTTTTACCAGACACTTCACACAGATGATTAAAACTGAGACTATATAAAGAAATCAAAAAACTTAACAGCAAAAAATCAAATGGCCCAATCAATAAATGGGCAAATGAATTGAAGAAATACTTTTATCCCATTAGTACAGGGGATTGAACCCAACACCTTCACACTCTGCTATAGCCCAATCCCTTCCTTAAAATTATTTTTCATTTTGAGTCAGGGTCTCACTAAATTGCTCAGGCTGAATTTGAACTTTCTCTTATCTGCCTCAGCTTTTCAAAGTGCTCGGTTAACCATTGTGCACCACCTTGCTTGGCCTGATACTTATTAAAAGAAGTATAAATGGTCAATAACTATATGAAAACAATGTTTAACATCTTTAACCATTAGGGAAATGCAAATCAAAACTATGTTGAGATTCCTTCTCACTCTAGTCAGGACAGCTATCAAGAATGGAAAAAACAGGGCCAGGGATTTAGCTCAGTGGTCCCACCGCCTGCCTCACCAGCCCAAGGTCTGGAGTTAGATCCTCGGTACGCCCCCATACAAAAAACAACAAATAGTGGCAAAGATGTAAGGGGAAAATAACCCCTTCTACACTGCTGGTATGGAAGTTCCTCAAACAACTAAAAATAGAGACACTGATCCAACCATAGCACTTTTTGGTACATATCAGAAGGAATTCCAGTCAGCATTCTATGGGGATACCTGCCTACCCATGTTTATTGTGCCACAATTCACAATAGCCAATATATGCAACCAGCCTAGGTGTCCACTGACAAAAGAAAGGACAAAGAAAGTGTGTGTGTGTGTAGTGTGTGTATACACACACTACACACACACACACACTACACACATAATGGAGTATTATTCAGCCACAAAGAATGAAACTTTGTCATTGGCAGAAAAATGGAAGGATCTGGAGATCATATTAAGTGAAATAAGCCTGCCTCAGACAAACCACATGGCCTCACTAATATGCGGTATCTAAAACAGATGGCAAGAACGTAGATGAGAGATTATTAGACAAAAAGAAAGGAATAAGGGTGCAAGGGCAGAAAATAGGGAGAACAGATGTGGTCAACATGTATCATAAGCACTGAAACAACCCCAACCCCCACCCCGGGAAACTCCAGAGAGGACGGGGCAATGAGGATGACGCTGAGAGTGACTCTTAAAAACATTAATAGGGCTCCCTAAAGCGGTTTTAGGACGAGCGAACCTCCCTGTGGCTTCAGAGCAGCACAGGGGCTGCCTCTGCCCACGAGTTTAATCCCAGCGTCCAGCCTGACAGCGCGATGGGACCGGTTCTCAGCACTTGCTGCTTTAGTGACTGCACTCGGTGCGTGAGGGGCCCGCATTTCGGCGGCGGCTGGAGGCCCGCGCGGAGAAGGCGAAGCCTCCTCTAG